AGCTAGGATGCCCACCTTGTGACTGTGCTGGACTAGGTGGTTTCCCCATCACCCACCACCTCTTTAAAGGAAGGCGTTTCTGTCTCACCAGATGTCCCTATGGTAGTAATTTTGCACGGCCAGTCATTGAAAACTGCCCATGCTGTCCGTCTCAAATAGCTGTTTCCCAATGAATTCACAGCATGCACTTGCTCTGTGCCTCTGCTAAACAGAGAATCCATCCATATAAACATGTAAAAGAGTGCTTTGAGAATCGACTTTTCTGACAGTCGGCAAAGAGTAGCCTGCCATCCGCAATTGGATAATTGAAGCCGAGTTCCTGTGGCGTAACGCAGGCTGGAAGTTCTCCTTCTAAATTGCTGCAGAAACCCCTGTAACTCAGTGATCCTGAAATTTGTTAGCTCCTACTCACCTAGCTTTCGGGAAGGCTAAGCAGGAGGTTAGTATAGGTGAACATCTCCGGGGTCTCGGATGCCATCTCCCAAGAGCAAATCAGAAGCCAAGGCAATGTGGGAAATAAATGATCTGGAGGTGAAACCCACAGACCGCCGCTTTTCTGATCAGGTTCGTTCTTAGAGCACTGTTGAGAGAGCAGTGCTGTCCAGGAGAGAATACTGTGTTTATTCATTTGCTATTCCAAAGCAAATTATTTATTTATTTATTTATTTATTTATTTATTTATTTAGAGACGGACCTTCACTGTCGTCACCCAGGCTGGAGTGCAATGGCACGATCTCAGCTCACTGCAACCTCCGCCTCCCAGGTTCAAGTGATTCTCCTGCCTCAGCCTCCCGAGTAGCTGGGATTACAGGTTCACACCATCACGCCAGGCTAATTTTTGTATTTTTAGTAGAGATGGGGTTTCACCATGTTGGGCAGACCGGTCTCGAACTCCTGACCTCAGGTGATCCATCCACCTTGGCCTCCCAAAGTATTGAGATTACAGATGTGAGCTACCGCACCCAGCCCAAAAATAATTGCTGGGTGGCTACAATGTGCCCTTGGACAAGACGGGCAGGGCCTCGGCTGTCTTGGAGCCTAACTTTGAGTGGGAAAAACAATAAATAAGTTAAAAGCTGATAAGCAAGACCATTCAGAGACTAAAAGGAAACCAAACAGGGCAATAAGATAGAGAGGGGACCGATGAGATGGGGCTGCTCTAGAGGGATGGTCACAGAAGGCCCTGAACAGAAGGAGCAAGGCTGTGGGCGTCTGGGGCAGAGCATGCCAGGCAAGTGTGCAGGCTCTAAGGCAGGAACAGGCTGAGCCACGTCAAGGAACCGAGGCAGGTGCCAGGAGCCGGAGTCAGAGAGGTCAGTGGGCACCCCTGAAGGGGCGTAGGATTTATTGTCAGTGCCATAGGAAGTCACTGGGCAGCTTTAAGCAGGAGGCTCCTAGGATCTGATTTCAGTTGTTAAAAAAAGACTCACTGCTGTGTGGAAAATGAAGTGAGTGCAGCGTTTTGGGGAGACAGCCCCGAGTGGAGGCAGAGAGACCAATTGGGAGGCAACGGTGGTGTCTCTGGGGGAGACCCTGGTGGCCCAGGCAGTAGCACACTCGGGCGAGGAGGTCAGCTCCAGGCTGTGTTCCGGAGAGAGAGCCGAGGGACGTGCCGACACGCTGGATGTGAGTGAGAAAGTGAGAGGGGTCGAGGGGACGGTGAGCTTTTTAGCAACCGCTCGAATGATGGACCCATTTTTTTTTTTTTTTTTTTTTTTTTTTGAGACAGAGTCTCGCTTAGTCGCCCAGGCTGGAGTGCAATGGCGCGATCTCGGCTCACTGCAAGCTCCGCCTCCCGGGTTCACGCCATTCTCCTGCCTCAGCCTCCCGAGTAGCTGGGACTACAGGCGCCCGCCGCCTCGCCCGGCTAATTTTTTGCATTTTTAGTAGAGACGGGGTTTCACCGTGTTAGCCAGGATGGTCTCGATCTCCTGACCTCGTGATCCGCCCGCCTCGGCCTCCCAAAGTGCTGGGATTACAGGCGTGAGCCACCGCGCCCGGCGGACCCATTTTTAAGATAGTTGAAGACTGGGTTTGGAGAAGGTGATTTCAGAATTCTGTTTCGGGCACACCAGGTACAGTGATTCACACCTGTAATCCCAGCGCTTTGGGAGGCCAAGGCAGGAGGATCCCTTGAGCCCCGGAGCTCAAGACCAGCCTGGGCAACAAAGTGAGACCCCATCTCTACAAAAAAATAATTTCTTTTAATTAGCTGGCCATAGTGACGTGCACCTGTAGTTCTGGCTATCCAGGAGGCTGAGACGGGAGGGTCACTTGAGCCCAGAAATTCAGGTTGCAGTGAACCCTGATCAAGCCACTGAACCCCAGCCTGGGCAACAGAGCAAGACCCTGTCTCTTAAAAAAAAAGAGAGCATTCTGTTTGGGCGTTTTAATATTGGAATACCTGTCAGATATCCAGGAAGAGAGGCCAAGCAGTCACTTGGGTCTTGGTGGAAAGGTCAGGGTTGGAGATGAAAATAACTGGGAGCCTGGGGCCTGAGTGAGACCACCTGGAGAGCGAGGGAAGAGCACTCAGGAGGCCTTGGACTGAGCCCCGGGCAGCCCAGTCCTTCAAGGTGCAGCCGAAGAAGAGGAAGTAGCCCAGGAGTCAGGCAGACTCAGCCAGCGAGGCAGGAAGAAAGCCAGGTGGGCGCAGAGCCACACAAGCCCCAGGGAGGAAAGCCATTGCAAAGGAGGAGAAGCTGCTGAGTACTGCCGAGCCGCCACACCCACCCGCTCCCCGCCCCCCAGAACTGAGAAATTCCCATTGCCTGTGGCAGTCGGCTGGACCCTGTAATTTAGGAACCAGACACTTCTGAGAGTCATTAATAATGGCACCAGGACAACAGGTATAAATCAGAATTGTCCCGGACAGACAAGGATGGACCGTCACCCTAGTTATCAGTGCCCAGGTCAGGTGGGTTCCACGTGGAGGTGGAGGCGGAAACCCAATGGGAGGAGGAGCCACAGGGACAGTGACACTCAGAGATTCACTTATAGGGTGATGGACAGATCATGGGGGACCCCTGCAATGGAATATTCCTTAGCAGTAGAAAGGAAAGGAACTATCAGTTCCCATAACACAGGTGAATCTCAGAGCAGTTACGATGACTGAAAGAGCCGGGCAAAAAAGACTACATGCAACATGATTCCTTTCTGTAAACATTCCAGAAAGGACGATCAGTGTATAGGGAGGGACCACACTAGGTGGTTGCCTGGGGCTGGGGAAGGAGGAAGGGGAGACAGGGGTTACCAAGGGGCACGAGGAAACCTTAGGGGTGATAGGTACGTTTGTTCTCTCGAGTGTGGTGGTTTCATTGGCGTAGACACATGTTAAAACTTATCAAGCTGCATCCATTAAATATGCACAATTTATTGTATGGGATGTGTATTCTACTCCTTGATAAAGCTGGGAAAAGAGTTTTGCTGTAAAGAGGATGAGACAAGTGGAACAGTAGCAGGAGGTGTGATTTTATCTTAAGCATAGAAGGAATAGAGCTGAACCTGTGTGACATGGGGGCATTTAGGCTGGCAGTGAGAGAGGAGAGCGAGGTGGGGACCCTTTGTGAAGGTTACTGCATGTCACGTGGAGGGCTTTGGAATTTATCCCATCAGCAGCATGGTTCTGCACCCTGTCGTGTGAAGAAATCACCTGGAGAACTTGTTTTGAGTCCAGTAGTTACCTACAGGCTGCCCTTGAGGCAGTGGTCGTCACACGGCATCCTCCTGGCTCCCTTCCGACTGCAGCTGCTGTGGACGTGGGACAGTCCCCGCATGTGGACAGCGCCCTGCCTCAGGTGCTCTTGGGGTGCTCTGCCGTGGGAGCACACTCAGCTCGTGCGTGTGTGGGTGCATCAGTGCCCTGAAGGCAGCCTTGAACTAGCAGTGGATAAATGTCCCAGTCTTGGAGAGACACTTGCAACATGCGTTTAAGCAGAAGATTCCCATGATCTGATTTCAGTTAAAAAAAAAAGACTCACTGCTGCATAGAAAATGAAGTGTGAGTGCAGGATTTGGAGAAGACACCGCAGAGTGGAAGCAGAGAGACCAATTAGGAGGCGGCAGTAGTGTCTCTGTCAGAGGCCCTGGTGGCCTGGGCAAGGAAGGCAGCAGCACATTCCAGGCAGAGAGGTCAGACCCAGGAAGTGTTCTGAAGAGAGAGGCGAGGGACAGCTGGCAGATCGGATGGGCAAGTGAGAAAGAGAGGGATCAAGGGGGCCACGAGGTTTTTGGCAACTGCTTCAAGGATGGAGCCATTTTTAAGATAGGTGAAGACTGGGGTTGGGGAAAGTGAGTTCTTGGAGTTCCGCAGAGGGCCCCCATGGGAAGGAGCACCAGTCGGCCACAGCAGTGACCAGCTCAAAAAAAAATTGAGTGTTTCCTTTTTCCTGCCCTATCTTACTTTCCCCGTTACCTCTTGGACTCACTTGCCAAATACTCGACTTGCACCCAAGTCCTTGTCTCAGCCTCTGTTTTTACGGTCTCCCAATTATGATGCCTGCCGAGGCCAGGAAGGCTGTGTTTTATAAGCACTTCAGGCTTTTTGACGCAGATGGTCTCAGGAACTGGACTTTAAAGAACACTGCTATAGGCTGTGAAAAAAACATGAAGGATTTCACACAGGGGAATGACTGGACAGATTTGCTCTGGTAGAAAATTAACTCTGGTGGCAATGTGAAGTCCAAGTTAAAGTAGCAAGAGACGGGAAGCAGGGGGACCAATTAGTAGGCTATTACAAATGTCCCAACAGGAGGTAATGATGACGAAGGCAGCGATTGAGTCCGTCTCTTTGTGAAAGTCCTTTGATTTATAGAGTATGTAACGGTTCGCACGGAAATGAGACCAAGCCTAGTTTCACACCCCCAGCACTGTCGTTTTCAAAAGCTCGCGTTTCTAGCATTTCACATTTTCTTTTCTTTTTTTGGTATCTCCGACTTCCAAAATTTCATACATCAGTCTGATGCTATGCATCTTCACTTTGTTAAATCTTGTGGTTTCAGGATCTTGACATTGGTGCCAAGAACGTGAAGCTTTACGTCAACAGAAACCTTATCTTCAATGGCAAGTTAGACAAAGGAGACAGGGAGGCCCCAGCTGACCACAGCATCCTGGTTGACCAGAAGAACGAGAAGAGCGAGCGACTGGAGAACACCATGAACATTCACTCGGAAGAAAGCAGAGGCGCCCACGAGATGGCTGGCGCCAGCGGGGACAAGGAGCTCGGTCTCGGTTGCCCACAGCCAGCTGAAACATTAGTGGATGCAAAGCTATCTTCACAAGGAGATGTGTCTGGCGAAAGGAAGAATTCAACTAATTGCGGGAAAGACAGTTTGTCCCAGTTAGAGGAATATTTGAGACTGTCGGCAGCCCCCGCTTTGATAGGTGACATGCCCAGTGCTCCTGCCACCTCCCCACCTGTCAGGTGCCCTCCTGTCCACGAGGAGCCCTCTCTCATCCAACAACTGGAAAACCTCATGGGCAGAAAAATCTGTGAGCCACCCGGCAAAACCCCGTCCTGGTTACAACCTTCTCCCACCGGGAAGGACAGGAAGCAGGAAGGCAGGAAGTCAAAACCCCTCTGGCTTAGTCCCGAGAAGCCACTGGCCTGGAAAGGCAGGCTCCCGTCAGACGATGTCATCGGTGAGGGTCCCAGAGAGACCGAGGCTGGGGATAAAGGCCCCCGGCGTGAGCCAGGGCGGGGGACCAGCCGGAGTGCCAACACCAAGGAGAGACCCCAGAGGACAACCCCCAAAGTCCACAGTGATGACTCAGACATCTTTAACCAGCCCCCCAACAGAGAGCGCCCTGCTAGTGGGAGGAGGGGCTCAAGGAAGGATGCTGGCAGCAGTAGTCATGGGGACGAACAGTCAGCCAGCAGAGGTAAGCTCCAAAAAGCAGCCTGACTTGGGCACCATCATCCCAGCGCCTCTAATTGGCATGAAGCCAGTTACTCCCTGGACCTCAGTTTCCTTATCTGTAAAACAAGGTGGTGGTTCTCAACTAAGGGTCACAAAATCACTGTCTCAGGGGCCAAAGAGGTACATAAATGAGTGAAATGGGCAAGACACATTTTGCATGACAAATTCATAGATGTGTTTGTCATTGCCACCAAAGTATGTCCCTTTGCCCATTTTTCTTGCAACACATGACTTTTCCAAGCCATTTTCCAAAAGACTACTTTGTTCTCCTACCTTTCATAGAGACATTGGTCTCTAATCACTTCACTTTCTCCAACTGTTAGAAAAATAGGTGACTACAGTGGCCAGGCCTGAAATCCCAGCACTTTAGGAGGCTGAGGCGGGAAGATCGCTTTGGCCCAGGAGGTCAAGGCTACAGTGAGCCATGATTGTGCCACTGCACTCCAGCCTAGGTGACACAGCGAGACTCTGTCTCAAGAAAAAAAAGAAAAAATAGTAACACAAGTGTGATGATGCATAGCAATTGACACTGCCTGGGTGTTGGAAGTGGCACAGGGAATAGTGAGGACTTCGGCAATTTGGAGACCATAAACCCACCCACAGGGCGGCTGCCACTCCACTCAGGTTTCTAGTCAGCCTTTAGGAATGCAAGGCCAGGCCGGGCGCAATGGCTCACACCTGTAATCCCAGCACTTTGGGAGGCTGAGACGGGCAGATAACCTGAGGCCAGGAGTTCAAGACCAGCCTAGCTAACATGGTAAAACCCTGACTCTACTGAAAATATAAAAATTAGCCAGGTATGGTGGTGTGTGCCTGTAATCCCAGCTACTTGGGAGCCTGAGGCAAGAGGATCACTTGAACCCAGGAGGTGGAGGCTACAGTGAGCTGAGATTGTGCCACTGCACTCCAGCCTGGGCAACAGAGCAAAACTCCATCTCAAAAAAAAAATAATAATAATGAATGCAAGGCCACTGTACCAGACCTCCCTTTTACCTTTTTCAAGAGAAACCAGAAATGTTTCTTATTTTTTAACTTTGGCAACTGATTGAGATTATTTTTAAACCACTATATGTGTCAAAAAACAAAAAACAAACAAAAAAAAAACATCTGTTGGCAGGACTCGCCCTGAGAGCTTTGTGAACTTTGCAGTAGATGATTAGATGATCTTCAAGGGCATTCCTGATTATGAACGGAGAGCCCACCAAGGCAGGGAGTCTCAATATTTGCACTCAGATTTGGCTCCTGGGAAGGAGTACTGATAGCAGCTAGGAGTCAAACCATTGAATCTAAACTTGGCGGCTTACAGGCCTGAGACCTCTAGCCTGGGCCTCAGTGTTTTCATCTATAAAATGGTAATGACTTCCCCACCCAGTGTGGCAAGGAAGGAATGAGATGATGGCTTCCAAATAGCAACACCGAACCTGTCACATGATGAGTGCTCGGCGAGTAGTAGCTGTTATTTCAACACTAGCTTGGACGAGGTCCTTTTCCATCCACAGAGCATTCAGGCCTGCTATGCCAGGGCTCACCCCTAGAGCCTCTGAATTTAACCCCACCCTATACCACGTGGAAGCAAAACCCTGGGGCCAGGCTGCCTGAGCATGTATGCTGGCTCCATCACCTCCAACCCACATCCCGGGCAGGTTCTGAAACCCTGCTGAGTCTCAGTTTCCTCATCTGTAAAACGACACTAATAATACATAGGGTGCTGGGAGGATCAAATGAGATCATACTTGTGGAGCATTTAACACAGTGCCTGGCACACAGGAGCCCCCAAGAGAGATTAGCTATTCTGTCATCATCATCACCCTCTCTGTGACGCTGCCTCTGGGTGAAATATCTATGCAACGGCAAGGCATGCATTTTGTTTTCCAGTTTTATTTTCTTATTTTCTTTTTAAAAATTTTTATTTTAAGTTCTGGGGTACACATGCAGGATGTGCAGGTTACATAGGTAAATGTGTGCCGTGGTGGTTTGCAGCACCTGTCAACCCATCACCCAGGTATTCAGGCCAGCATGCATTAGCTATTTTTCCTAATACTCTCCCTCCCTCACTGTACCCCCCAACAGGCCACAGTGTGTGATGTTCCCTTCCCTGTGTCCATGTGTTCTCATAGTTCAGCTCCCACTTATAAGTAAGAACATGTGGTGTTTGGTTTTCTGTTCCTGCATTAGTTTACTGAGGATAACGGCTTCTGGCTACATCCATGTCCCTGCAAAGGACATGATCTCGTTCCTTTTTATGGCTGTATAGTATTCCATGGTGTATATGTGCCACATTTTCTTTATCCAGTCCATCATTGATGGGCATTTGGGTTAATTCCATGTCTTAATGCATGCATTTCTTAATGATTCAAATCAGCGTTTCTCTATTAGGGAGTGTCTAGCAGATATACCCCTGACATGTCACTTAGGGTGCAGGAACAAGTTCCTCAGACTCCAAGTGTCATCATGGGCAGAGCTGCCTCCTCTGATTCCCCAACCTTACAGATTTTTGCTGCTCACCCCTTCTGAGACTTAACATAGGTTCAGTCAGCATCAGGAGGAGGGTAAGGTGGAAGGAAAGAGTTGAGGAGCTCTCTGAGGGCAGGCGCCTGGCTCATGGCAGGTCTTTCACAGTGTGGGAGGGCCGTTGTAAGAAAGAACTGCAGTGACCGGGTGCACAGCATGCTTGCGGTAAGCCAGGCTCTGGTCCAGGCGTGTTACCCAAATAACCTCCTGACAGACTCATTTTACAGATAAAGAGAACGTGAGATGGAAGTAACGTTTTTCAGGTCACATAGACAGTTAGGGTTAAAGCAGGACTCGAACCCAGACAGATCAGCTCTACCATACATGTTTCCAAACACTACCCTATAGTAGTCACAGCCTATGGTCACAGCCATCATCACCCAACTGCCCCGGGAAGGCCAGGCGTTCCAAGCTTTCCCAGCAAACAGTCGTGCAAAGCCTCCGGGAGTTCTGAGGTAACGGTGTTACTCTAACTTGCCCAAGTTCAGGAGATTCTGTTTCACTTTAATTTCTTTCCAAGCATTTCGGTGCTTGGCTCAACGGCACATTAAGAACCAAGCCCCTGAGATTTCATGCTTGTTAAGCCAGTCATGCTAAAAAGGAAAGTTGCTTAGAAATTTTAAATTATCCATTACCTAGCACCAAATCCCATAGCCATGCCCTTCCAGAAAGGTACAGGCCAGCCCACCAAGAATGCTGGCGGAATGAATGGCTGCCCAAGTTCTGTTCTGGGATTGGAATTTTGTTGCCAGTATAAGAGCCTGGGTACTGGGTGCACTGTCTCACATCTGTAAACCCAGCACTTTGGGAGGCCAAGGTGGGAAGATTTCTTGAGGCCAGGAGTTCAAGACCAGCCTCGGCAATATAATAAGACCCCATCTCTACAAAAGTTAAAAAAAAAAAAAAAAAAAGATGGGTGTGGTTGTGTGTGTCTGTAGTCCCAGCTATTCGGGAGGCTGAGGCAGGAGGATCCCTTGAACCCAGGGACTGAAATGCCTGAAAAGAAATTAAAGTGAAACAAAGTCTGCAGTTCAAGTCTGGAGGTCAAGGCTGCAGTCAGCCATGATCACACCACAGCACTCCAGCCTGGGTGACAGAGCGAGACCCTGTCTCTGAAAAAACGAAAATTGGGCTGGGCACAGTGACTCTTGCCTGTAATCGCAGCACTTTGGGAGGCCGAGGCGGGAAGATCATCTGAGGTCAAGAATTCGAGACCAGCCTGATTAACATGGCAAAACACTCTCTCTACTAAAAATAGAAAAATTAGCCAGGTGTTTTGGCGCACACCTGTAATCCCAGCTACTCAGGAGGCTGAGGCATGAGAATCGCTTGAACTCGGGAGGTGGAGGTTGGAGTAAGCCGAGATCACACCACTGCACTTCAGCCTGGGTGACAGAATGAGACTCTGTCTCAAAAAATGAAATCATAAAATTAAATAAATTAAATTAATTAAAATTAAAGCAATATAATGTAAGGAACTTATGAAAATCAAGACAGAGCAGGATCCGGTCTCTTTTAAAAAGGAGAGCAAGAGAGAAAGAGCAAGCCTGAGAAATCTTACGCCCAGCAGAGCATCTCATTGAATGCCATCTGCATTTTGGAATTATTTTCATCAGGGGTCAGTTGTTTACAGGTGAAGGGGATCTTATCACCCCAGTTTGAGCAGTAAAGAGGGTGTTATTCGGAGAATCCTCAATGATCACCTTGACCCCAAAGGTAGAGAGTGTAGCGACTCATCACAGGGGACTGGAAGGAAGAACCAGAAAGTTGGCAGGAGCCAAGGACGCTTCTTTCTGTCTCTTCTGGGCCCTATCTCTTCTTCTCTGCGGGTCCACTTCCCCTCACTTTCCTCACGATACCAGCTTTCTCTGCTACTCACACGGCCTCACAACTGTATGAGGAGAAATGTAAGGAAATGGCCTCACAGCCCTAGAGTGACTATGTCCCGGCTCTTGTTCCTGCAACCAATTCCAAAGTCTCAGGGTAGAAGGTGATTGGTCTACTTGGGTCAGGTGTCCACTCCTTGTCCAATCAGTGATGGCCAAAGGGTGATTCACTGGAATAAACATGGCTCTGTGATATCCCTCTAAGTACTTCATCATTTCCTGTTTTAGCAGCAATTACCACATACCTCATGGCAGTGCAGTTGATTTTGACAAACTTCAGTTCAGAGCTCCATAGTCCTATTCATCTCAATCTAGGAGTATGTAGGAAATTTTGATAGCACCATCTCGTCATTGGGCACCCCTCCCAGATTGTGTTGACTGCAGGTTGAAGGAGTGGCTTTCTGATGTCTGTGCAGATTGTAGAAATGTTGGTGACGACAGGACAGAGCACTGATCCCAGCAGCTCCCCAATTCCCATGGAGTCTGCAGACATAGAGGTCCATGGGCCCCCAGCCAGCTCTCATGTCGAAGAGGTCTAAGAGCAAGGCTCAACTCCTCTGCTTTTTTTTTTTTTTTTTTTTTTTTTTTTTTTTTTCAAGACAGAATCTTGCTATGTCGCCCAGGCTGGAGTGCATTGGCACAATTTCAGTTCACTGCAACCTCCACCTCCTGGGTTCAGGTGATTCTCCTGCCTCAGCCTCCTGAGCAGCTGGGATTATAGGTGCATGCCACCCCACCCAGCTAATTTTTGTATTTGTAGTAGAGATAGGGTTTCCCCCTGTTGGCCAGGCTGATCTTGAACTCCTGACCTCAGGTGATCCACCCACCTCAGCCTCCGAAAGTGCTGGGATTATAGGCGTGAGCCACCGCACCCAGCCATCTACTCCTCTGCTTTTAAACCCAGAGTGTACAACTCAGGGAGAATAGGTTAGAAAGCAGATGCAGAATGAAAGCAAAGTCTCTGCCTGTCTCACGCACTCAGGCAGTGTCCCTGATATGTGGCGTTCGGTGCTGTCTCCTCGGTGCACTTGCAAACCAACCCAGGCCATTCATTTTAGTCGATGGAAATCAAATCACATAAATTGAAGTCATGAGAATCCATCCGGGTAGTTCCTTCTGCCACATGTTAAGCCTCGTGCCTGAGGGGAGAGGATGGAAGAAACCTCTGGTATCTTTTTAAATGGCAGATGAGAAGGAGGGGAGGGCAGAGGACAGGGGCAGAGGAACTGACAGGTGGAGCAGGGAGTCCCTCAACCTCTAGGCCTGATCCCGAGGGCTACCAGCGTCCAGCCCTTCACTGGCATTTCCACACACCAGGAGCTGTGCTGCACACTGGGACACATCCGGGAGCGAGGATAAGGTGGCAGAGAAGGCTTCTCCAAGGAGGCGGGTGACAAGCGAAGCCAGCTAGGTGGGCCTCTGGAAGAAGAGCACTCCTGGCAGGGGCGCAGCAAGGGCAAAGCTGCTGAGGCCAGAAGAGGCAGCCTGGCCGGGGAGCAGGAGGGCCAGCGGGGCTGGAGCTGAAAGGTCATGGTGGGGAGGGCAGAGAGGAGGGGGCAGGAGTCAGCGGTGGCCACACTCAGGGCTGTGGGTGTGGTGAGAGTCAGGTAGTCTCGATTCTCAGTGCGGGAGAGACAATACCAGCTAGAGGGGCTGATGACAAACTCCATTTTAGGCACATGGAGACTGAAGTGACAGAGTGGACATGTCTGGACCTTCCAAGAGGTCATTGGGATTGAAGGATGATGCCCAGGGAAGAGAAGGCAGAACTTGACCTGTAAAGTTAAGCAGGGCCTGCCTGCCTGGGAACCAGGAGCTAAATGAGGGCAAGGAAGGATGGTGGCGTCAGGAGAGGAGCGGCCTGGGCCTTGGGACACCCCCAGACTGAGGGTATGGGAGGGCGGGACTGGGGTGATGGAGAGAGTTGTCAGTGGGAGAGGCAGAGAACCACGGAAGTATAGTGGCTCCTGTATCAGTGGAGTGGGAGCTATCAAATGGAAGAGGTTTGCCAGGGATGTCACACATAGACTGAAAACTGACAAAGACTGGGAGGTCATTGATCACTTGGGGAAGGCATTTCAGTGGCGGGTTAGGGAATTGTAGGAGTCGTACGCATGCAAAGACCAGAAAGCCACCAGGAGTTTAACTTCAGGCACAGCTGGATCCAGGAGTTCAGAGGTTGTCATCAGGATCCTCCATCTCTCGACTCATGTTCTCAGTGTTGGCTTCATTCTCAGGCAGGTTCTCCCCAGTGGGTAGCAAGATAGCCTTTGGCAATTCCACATCTCCATGCTTCCAGCTTCAGCGCCACCAGTTTAAAGAGTACCCCTCTTTGAGGCTGGCTTGGAAGGATAGTGTCGGCATTGATCTAATTAGATGGCCTGAAGGTGGGGGGGGCCTCCAAAGGATCCCCCAAATCCGAGTGGAAGGGGAAGTGGAGTTTGAGTGAGCAAAACAATCCCACTGGAAAGAGGCACCAAGTGGCAGGAGCTTGAGGGGTGGGAGGGGTGGGAGGGGTGGCAGAGCGCCTGAGCGAAACAGGGAGAAAATAGGGTCGTGGTCGGAGGGAGCCACAGGAGCAGGTCGCCTTCCTGTTTCTTCCTTTCTTCTCTTCCAGGTAGGAGAGATTTATGCATGTCTGCAGGCAAAGAGGGGAAGGTGCCAGTGGGGAAGGAGTGATTGAAGATTCTGGAGAGAGAAGATAATCGATAGAGCCGAGCCCCCTAGGAGACAGGCAGGAAGTGGAGTGCAGGGCACAGTGCGATATGAAAGGAGGAAAAACAATGTCAGTGTCAGCAGTCGCTGTTTTTGCAGGATGACACCCTTAGATGGCGGTGAGCCCTTAGTGGCTGTGAGAACAGGCCACTGCGTGGTGTGCTCGCCGCGGCTCTCATGTTCCATAAGGAGCGTCGGGCCTTCAGATCAGTCTGGGCCTGTGTTCTCCATGTGCTTGGGACACAGGCTTTAGCCAGGTGTGCAAATAAATTCATTCCTTTATAATATACCTGGCCGATTGGCTTTTTAAAATAGCATTTTTGGCTGGGCACAGTGGCTCACACCTGTAATCCCAGCACTGGGATTCGTCCAGCTGTGGCAGGCGAATCACTTGAGCCCAGAGTTCAAGACCAGCCTGGGCAACATGGCAAAACCCCGTCTCTACCAAATATATATATATATATATATATAAATTAGCCAAGCATGTTGATGCACACCTGTGGTCCCAGCAACTCAGGAGGCTGAGGTGGGAGGATCACCTGAACCTGGGAGGTTAAGGCCATAGTGAGCCATGATCACGCCACTGCACTCCAGCCTGGGTGACAGATTGAGACCCTGTCCCAATAAATAAATAAATAGCATCTTTTTTTCTTGATTATCAAGGTATTACAGGCTGGGCCCAGTGGTCATGCGTATAATCCCATGTACTCGGGGGGCCGAAGTGGGAGGATCGCTTGAGGCCAGGAGGTCAAGGTTGCAGTGAGCTTTGATATCACACCATTGCACTCTAGCCTGGGCAGCAGAGCGAGACCCTGTCTCTAAAAAAAATTAAAAAGAAAGAAAATAAAAGTAATGCATGTAGGGAACTTTAAAAAAATCAAGCTACAAAGAAGAAAATAAAAGTCCTTCCTGCTCCCCACCCAGAAACCAGAAACAACACTGTTAACACGGGTGAATGTCAACCCGTACCAGGATATGCTGCATTTAAAACTGTGTATCTGGCTTTTTCCATTTAACATTCTTTTACAAGCCTTCCACCTGCCATTAAATTGTCTTTGAAAACCGTTAGAGTCACGTGACTGTGACAGCCTCCAGCACACACCCTCTTGTTGCTGACTCAGACGCCCCAGGCAGCAGCATTGCCCCTGGTCATGGGAGTTTCTACAGTGGGGAGCGACTCCTGGCAAAGTTTCTAACACAGCCAAGTAGCCTTCCCTTGGTTCGCACGATGATTGCATTCTTAGAAAATTCAGTCTATGAAAAAATACTTCATGTTTTTGCAAAAACAACCAGATTCTGGAATTGGGTGATGATAGACAATTTTTTTTACTGACCTGAATGGCCCACAGGACAGTCAGAAGCTGTGTGGGACAGGAGACCAAGCTCTGTGCCAGGGCCCCCATGCAGTGCAGGATGGTAACATGCCTGGCCCCAGCCATCCAGTGCCAGGAGGCCTCTTGGCTAAGGAGACAGCCAGGAGCAACCCCGCTGGTTTCTAGAGGGCTCCTCTGGAGGTGACCCTGCCTCGCTGAGAGCCAGCACAGGAGACAGTCTCTAATGGTCCCGACTTCCACGCATGCCACTCACAGGGCTTCCCCCTTCTTTTGTCCTTTCTTCCAGAAGACACCTGGTCTTCCAGGACGCCGTCACGGTCAAGGTGGCGCAGTGAGCAGGAGCACACACTTCACGAGTCATGGAGCTCTCTCAGTGCCTTCGACCGCTCCCACCGGGGACGCATCTCCAACACGGAGCTCCCGGGGGACATCCTGGATGAGCTCCTGCAGCAAAAGAGCAGCCGGCACAGCGACTTGCCCCCCTCCAAGAAGGGGGAGCAACCAGGGCCATCCAGAGAGCAGGATGGCTACACTGGAGAGACAGACGCTGGGGGCGACTTTAAAATCCCCGTTTTGCCTTATGGACAGCGCTTGGTCATTGACATCAAGTCTACCTGGGGGGACAGACACTATGTCGGCCTCAACGGAATAGAAATATTCAGTTCCAAGGGTGAACCGGTGCAGATTTCAAACATAAAAGCAGACCCTCCCGATATCAATATTTTACCAGCCTATGGGAAAGACCCCCGCGTGGTCACCAACCTCATCGACGGGGTGAACAGGACCCAGGACGACATGCACGTCTGGCTGGCCCCCTTCACGCCAGGCAAATCCCACTCCATCACCATTGACTTCACGCACCCTTGCCACGTTGCCCTGATCAGAATTTGGAACTACAATAAATCTCGGATACATTCCTTCCGAGGCGTGAAAGACATCACGATGCTGTTAGACACCCAGTGCATCTTTGAAGGAGAAATCGCCAAGGCCTCTGGAACCCTGGCGGGAGGTACGGCGTGTCTGTAAGAATGTTCTCGGAGCCCCTGTCTGCCACTTGCTGAGGGTCTATGGGAAAAAACAGACCAGCTGGCTAGCCAACAACAGATCAGTCCTTCCTCTTTCTTTCTTTCTCTTTCTTTCTCTCTCTTTCTCTTTCTTTCTTTCTTTCATTTCTCTTTCTCTTTCTTTATTTCTCTTTCTCTTTCTTTCTTTCTTTCTTTTTCTTCTTTCTTTCTCTCTCTCTCTTTTCTTTCTTTCTCTTTTCTTTTCTTTCTTCTTTCTTTTCTTTTCTTTCTTCTTTCTTTTTTTTTTTTTTGACGGAGTCTCGCTCTATCCCCCAGACTGGAGTGCAGTGGCGCGATCTCTCAGCTCACTTCAGACTCCGCCTCCTGGGTTCACACCATTCTCCTGCCTCAGCCTCCTAAGTAGCTGGGACTACAGGCACCTGCCAACACAACTGGCTAATTTTTTGGTTTTTTTTTTTTTTTCAGTAGAGATGGGGTTTCACCGTGTTAGCCAGGATGGTCTCAATCTCCTGACCTTGTGATTCACCCATCTCAGCCTCCCAAAGTGCTGGAATTACAGGCATGAGCCACTGCACCCGGCCCTTTCTTCCTTTTTTTTTTTTTTTTTTTTTTTTTTTTTGAGACAGGATCTTGCCCTGCACAGTGGCATGATTTTGGCCCACTGCAGCTTTGACCTCTTGGGCTCAAGCAATCCTCCCACCTCAGCCTCCTAAGTAGCTGGGACTACAGATGCACCAACCCACCTGGCTAATTTTTGTATTTTTTGTAGAGATAAGGTTTCACCATGTTACGCAGTCTGGTCTCGAACTCTTGGGCTCAAGTAATCCACCCACCTTGGCCTCCCAAAGTGCTACGATTACAGGCGTGAGCCCCTGCACCCAGCCACAGACCTAGTCCATTCATCCCCTCTTACAGCATGGGTGTGCTAGGCCTGACATCATTCAGCTCCTCCTATAAAACACCTGTCTTGGTCCAGCCCCTAGAACCTGAGTCTGAGATGGGGCATTCTTTGGCAAGTGACTTATGGAGGTAGTGCTTCTAGGAGAAACCTGGCATAGTGAAGCAAGGATATAGTTTCCAGGAAGCCCAGCCTCAACCAAATATTGAGGGAGCTCTGGAACATAAATTTCAGGTGTTTCCTGCCTGAAGGTGAAGGAGCAGGACGTTAGAACCCCACCTACCAGGCAGTCATTGGAGCCAAGGCTTCCTAGGTTGGGGATGTAACTCCCACACCCTTCCAGGCAAGGCACCCAAGAAAAGGATACACCGAGATCTGTGTGGGGTACCAGCAGTATCTGGCATAGTGCCTCGCCCACCCCAAAGAAATGTCACTTGCCTGATGACATATCACAGTGATTCTCATGAAATTAGATCCCTTCCTTAGATCTGTGTGATGCTTATGGTCCGTGCATTCCATTTGCAAATCTGTGAAGACTAATAAGGCTCACACTAATCAATACCAGTTAGGGGTTTGGGGTTGTATAGCACAGAAGTGGATGGGTTTAGGCTCTTGATCTACAAATCACTGGGATGGAGTGAGTTGACCCTTCTGTCGTCTTGGTAACCCATTAGCCCCAGAGCACTTTGGAGACACGATCTTATTCACGACTGATGATGACATTCTCGAGGCCATATTCTATTCCGATGAGATGTTTGACCTGGATGTGGGGAGCCTGGACAGCCTGCAGGATGAGGAGGCACTGAGGAGGCCCAGCACGGCCGACGGCGAGGGGGATGAGCGGCCCTTCACCCAGGCTGGCTTGGGGGCTGATGACTGGGTAAGACTGGAGCTGGGGGGCTGGGGGGGGGACCCCAGATAGGTTTCTTCCCCTAACTCCGAGTAGAGCAGGGAAAATTAAGATGGATATCCTTTAAGCTGCTGGTGCCACTGTGTTGACATTTCCCATTTTTCTACTTCATTTTTTTGTCCTCTATGTCATATTTCACTCTCTAATTATTTTTACTTTTTTATTTTTTTTTAACCGAAGTAAAGAAAGTATTCAAATTTTAATCAAAGCCAGGAGAAATGAGCTCTGTGTCATCTCTGCAATTCAGAGGTTGGCAGTCTCGGGGGAGTTTTTGCTTTGGGTTGTGTTTTGATCATTCACTGTTGTTTTTGATGGAAGGACTAGGAACACTGTTCACAGGCAGAGAGACAATTAAAATAATGATCATCACAGCCGTGGTTTCATGAACACATATCATGATCCAAGCAGGGTGCACAGTGTTCTTGTTTCACCCTCGTGACGACCCTCTGAGTAGAGACTATTAACATTGCCATCTCGGAAACCGATGCTCAGACAAGTCAAGTGACTTGCCCAAGGGCACATCATGACAGAGAAACAAGGGTAGAACTTGAATGCATGATTCCACAGTTTATGCTTGTAATCGATAAGCAACTTATTATTTTTTATATTGTTTAGAGGTAGGGCCTGGCACTGTCACCCAGGCTGGAGTACAGTAGCGTGATCATAGCTCATTGCAGGTCAAACTCCCGGGGCTCAAGTGATCCTCCCATCTCAGCCTCCTGAGTAGCTGAGACTACAGTGTGCGCCACCATGTCACTAGTTTTTTTTATTTTATTTTTTTATTTTTTTATTTTTTTTGAGACGGAGTCTTGCTCTGTCGCCCAGGCTGGAGTGCAGTGGCCGGATCTCAGCTCACTGCAAGCTCCGCCTCCCGGGTTCAGGCCATTCTCCTGCCTCAGCCTCCCGAGTAGCTAGGACTACAGGCGCCAGCCACCTCGCCCGGCTACTTTTTTTTTTGTATTTTTTTTAGTAGAGACAGGGTTTCACCGTGTTAGCCAGAATGGTCTTGATCTCCCGAACTCGTGATCCGCCTGTCTCGGCCTCCCAAAGTGCTGGGATTACAGGCTTGAGCCACCACGCCCGGCCTTATTTTTTGTAGAGATGAGGTCTTGCTATGTTGTCCAGGTTGGTCATGAACTCCTGGACTGAAGCGCTTCTCCCACCTTGGCCTCCCAAAGTGCTGGAATTACAGGCATGAGCTGCCACACCCAGCCAGATAAACAAATCTTTTAAAATGAAAGATGACCTGCAGGGTCAATTCCGGTCAGGACCAATAGGAAAAAGAGGAGATGGTTAAAGAGGGTAGGGGAGAAATGGGGACAACAGAAGCCACAGGTGATGGGGCTGGGCTGTGGGAAGGTCATGACCGAGGCAAGGCAGCGACATGTCGTGTGGACCCCACGATGCTCACTGGGGCTGTATCCCATAGCCAGGCAGAGCCTGGGGTGCGGGAGCAGGGCATGGGAAGGCACAGGCAGCAGGGGAGTACGTGCCCCTCCCCACATCCAAGGAAAGCGGCCACCAAGAGTGGCAAGCCTGTTGTTGCCAGTTCTCCTGATTTTTACAGGAGGACCCAGAAAGCTGGATGTTTCTGTGAAATCTCTCCATTTAAAAATGCTGGCAGTGAATTCAGATGTTTTCAAACCTTCTTTGGGCCACAAGCCGTGCCTGTGCTCTGGATTTGACCCAGGGGTCTCCAGGTGGGAGTCCACCCTGGGCGCTTCCATTTGCCCAGCGTTTTCCAAAAGATGAAGGCGCTCGTAAGGGACTCTGATGAGCCCAGTGCTGTGAGGGGCTGGGGGGATCACTCTCTCCGTCTCATGAGAGACCAGCGCCTTCACTTCGTTTTACACCTCAGCTTTCCTGGCTGTGAAGTAGTAAAGTCTCTTTTGCCTTCACTGACGGTGCAAAGAGACGGTGAGCAAGTAGTTTATACGTAAGGCCCAAGAAGTGTGTGGCGGCCCACTGTTGACTCTCTGAAGACCAGGATGTTTTATCCTGGCTACCCATGGAAATCACTTGGGTGGATCTTTAAAAATATGGATGTCGGGCCCCACCCCTAGAGATTCTGCTTCAGTGACTAGCCAAGGTTAAGAACCACTCTGTATGGTTTGAATTCTTCCTTCCCTCCCTCCCTCCTTCCCTCCCTCCCTCCCTTCTTCCTTCCCTCCCTCCCTCCTTCCCTCCCTCCCTCCCTCCCTCCTTCCCTCCCTCCCTCCCTCCTTCCCTCCCTCCCTCCCTCCTTCCCTCCCTCCCTCCTTCCTTCCTTCCCTCCCTCCCTCCTTCCCTCCCTCCCTCCTTCCTTCCCTCCCTCCCTCCCTCCTTCCCTCCCTCCCTCCCTCCTTCCTTCCCTCCCTCCCTCCCTCCTTCCCTCCCTCCCTCCCTCCTTCCTTCCCTCCCTTCCTCCTTCCCTCCCTCCCTCCTCCCTTCTTTTCCTTCCTCCCTCCTTCCTTTCCTCCTTCCTTCCTTTCTTCATCTCTCCCTTCCTTTCTTCCTGTCTCCCTTCCTTCTCTTCTTGCCTTCCTCCTCCTTTCCTTCCTTCCTTTCTTTCTTCCTCTAGCTCACCACATAAGCATTTATTGGGTCCTTCCCTTTTGGAGGAAATCTAAACACCTTAGCTCTTAGCATCAGGCTCCTCCCTGGCCAGTGAAAGCTGCTGAGAAGGATGCAGACCCCAGAGAGTCAGGGTCTGCCCATATCCCTGGTCCCATAGCTTCCACAAAGGCAGAAAAATCCAGGAAGACACACAGGGACTTACCTGGGCACAGGGTGGGCAGTGGTGTCTGCAGAAACAGCCAGCTAGCTGTGTGGGCATCACTAAAACCACCCCCTTTTCCTCTGCTTCTCCAACGCATGTGCAGGTCCCAGAGCTAGAGCTCCCATCCAGTCCCCATGTCACCCAAGTCACCACGCCAGAGCCAGGCATCTACCACGGAATCTGTGAGTACCTCTCCTGGAGCAGTGTCGGGTGGAAGGAGGACCTTCCGGGGTCAGGGGGAGTTGTGGTTACTTGGGACAGGGTTTCCCTGTACAGTCGGGTGGGTTGCACACTGCACAGAGACACCAGGCTATGGGGCAAGTGGAGGCTGAAACCAGCCTGTGCTTAGCTCCCTGGCTCTAGCAGGGCCGTCTCACTCCAGAGGAGGGGATCTCTTCTCATTTTGCCCTCACTGAGGGGCATTTTTGCATTATGCATGCAGACACCCTATGTGTTAGCTGTGGCCCTGACCCAGGAAGCAGTAGTTGGCACCCAGAAAGTGTAGAACAAGAGGACATAAGAGCCCGAAGAGACCCAAGGCATCTGTTGGTACGGTGCCCCAAGCTCTCTCTTCCAACTCCACCAAAGAGCAGATGCACAGGCAGAGAAAACCGGCATCCACTCTGCCCCGGGGGTGGGGGCAGGTGCACGGGCCCAGGGTACCAGGTCTTCTGACTTCTCAGGAGAAGTCGGAAATCTAGAGTCTTACGCGAAGTCTCCAGATTCTCAAATGTGGGTAATGAATTTCCTCATGTTTTAAAATATCACATGAGCCAAATAAAACACTTATTGTGTATCTGGCCAGCCAGCTGCCAGTTTGTGACTTCTGAGCAAATCCCAGGGGTTCTCTGCTGGGCCTGTTCATCACTCTTCTATTTCCATTGATCCTTCCAGCCAGTTCCTCTCTTCATCCATGCGCGTCCATGCCAGCCCCTCCCCGTCCTGGGAAATCTTCAAGCCCAAGGTCACTGCCGGTTGTGATCTCCTCCCTCCTGCACCCTGGTAACCAGGTTCCTGGCAGCCTCACTTCCTCTGTCTCCTGCCCCCTGTGAATGTGACCTGCTTCTACTTTAAGAACAAAAGATGTGACACTTTCAGGCTCCCCTCCCCAGCTCCCCATCCTCATCTCCAAAATGAAGCTGGAGCCTCTCCGAATCCCAGTGTCAGCCCCTCCGGTACCTCCCCATGCCATCTCTGGAGTCCACCTGCAGGCGCCTGTGCAAGCCACACCTTCCGCCTAGGATGCCTTCCCGCTCCATCTCGTCTTCTGAAGACCGCCTGTCGCTGACTGAGTTCCCTAGATGCAGACCTTGAGATGGAATTTACTGGGGTGTGCTCTTGTCAGGGAAAGGTGGGAGGCAGCACTGGGCAGAGGGAGAAGCTGGTCTGCGGTGCAGCCACTTCAAGGCCTCAGCCTGCTCCACAGGGAGCTCGGAACCTGGGATGGCCCTTTGGGGTCATCCTGAATTGAGTCAGGGGCCATGTCTTTGTCTGTCTGTATCAACATGGCACTGGCAATGGGCTGCCCCTGGGGAGGGGCATGGCTTTTTATTTTACTTTTTAATATGTATTTATTTATTTTGACACAGTCTTGCTCTGTCGCTCAGACTGGAGTGCAGTGGTGTGATCTAAGCTCACTGCAACCTCCGCCTCCCAGGTTCAAGAGATCTCCTGCCTCAGCCTCCCGAGTAGCTGAGATCACAGGTGCCCACCACCATGCCTGGCTAATTTTTGTAATTTTAATAGAGACAGGGTTTCACCATGTTGGTCAGGCTGGTCTCGAACTCCTGACCTCAGGTGATCCACTCACCTTGGCCTCCCAAAGTGCTGGGATTACAAGCATGAGCCACCGTGCCCAGCTGGGCATGGCTTTTTGCAAGGAGACTCTCTTCAGCCAAGGGCAGTCACAAGTCAAGGGCCTCAGTGGTGAGCTGCCAGCCGTCAGCACTTCCCACCACCAGAAGACTAAGTCCTTCTGTTCCCGGGGGTGGGAGGTGGGGCCTGAGCAGTGCCCTAAGTGAGCTCCACATCCCCTCCCTTACGGCCCTTGTGCAACCGCGTCTCCTCCCCAGGAGTCTTCCCTGTCATCCCCTGTGAAAATTCATCTCTCCCTCACCCACTCCAAAATAACCAATGATCTCTTAGAAGATGCCTTAGAGGAAGTTGCCTTATTTGGAATTCTCATAGCCCCTTACATTCCAGGGCACTCTCTCAATTACTTTCGAATAGCAGCAGTTTTAAAGGCCAGCCTAACATTAGGCAAGAGCCTGGTTTAAGGCTTGGTTTCATCTCCCAGACAGGCACTGTGCTGGGCTTTCTCTGCCTTATCTCGCTGTAACACTCCTGGCTCTGTTTTCCATGAGATCAGGCAGCTGAGGCTCAGAGAGATGGAGTCACCTACCTAAGGTCACACGGCCAGTACGGAAGCTGGGAGTGGAAGCAAAGGTGTTTGAATCCAAAGCCCACATCCTCACCACGCTAGCAGATTGCCTTAGGGTTCTCACTGGGAGACCACCTCACATCAGAAGTCTCTGCAAGAGTCAGTGTCCTCCACGAAGCTGTGAGGTCCCAAAAGACAGCCATCGTTTTTTATTCAATTTGGTTCTCCCTTAAGTTGGTCAGGATTTTTTTTTTTTTTTTTGGCAGGGGATGAATAATGGAAATTTATTTCAAGCTGAGTTCAGCAAAAAAGGGAACTTATTGGCTTATGCAACTAGAAGTTAGGGGTCGCCAGTTTCCACACAGCTGCGTTCAGTTACAGAAATGATGGCATCAAGACATGGTGTCTCAAGACATGGTGTCTCAAGACATGGTGTCTGCCTCCCTCTCCCTGCCTTCTTTTCGTCTCTTGCCGTTCTCCCGTTCAGCACCATCCATGTGGAAAGTCCTGGAAGCTCCCGTTTATGCCTCCTTTCTACCCAGCAGTCCCAGATGAAAGAGAACTTCTGTTTTCCTGAATCCCAGTAGTTCCATCAACTATCCCAGAATTAGATCTCTGGGCCTAGCTTGAGTCATGTGCCCATTCTCTTTTTTGTGTATTTGTTTGCTTGTTGTTATTGTTTTGAGACAGGGTCTCACTCCGTGGCCCAGGCTAGAGTGCAGTAGTGCAAACACAGCTCGCTTCAGCCTCAGACTCCTGGGCTCAAGAGATCCTCCCGCCTCAGCCTCCCGAGCGGCTGGGACTGTAGGTGTGCCACCGTGCCCGGCTAATTCGTATGTCCATCCTTAAATCAGCCACTGTGACTCACCATGGTGGGTAGGGCAGGAGGTGGGAGATAGAAAACACAGATTGGCCAGGCCTGGAGCCCAGAGAAAGGGGTCAGCCACCCAAACAGTGTGGACTGAGCACAGGGTGGTTCTCCAGAGCAGGTCAGAGTGTGGTCACCAGAAGGAAAGCGGGAATGCTGGCCAGGCAGAAGCAGCCACTGTCCCCTTCATCTGATGATTTCCCCAAAGATGCTATCTGTTGATGTGTTTCCTGCTGACCCGGCTCCTGACCTTTCACAGAGATGTTATTTCAGTGCCTTTGGGAATCTGGCCCTGGAGTAGAGCTCAAAGACCTTTTTACTGCAAGGCAAGTGTAATTTCTCTTCTCTTCTCAGTAGGAAGGCAGAAGAGCCTCTCAACCAAGCACCCTCTGCGTCTGTTTCGAGGCCTGTGATTTCTGAATCTCTTCTCTGTGAACCTTTAGCTTTTTCCTCGCTGTATTCAAAATCCTCAATCCACTTCACCACTCCGTGCAAGAGCAGAGCAGAGAGACCTTTAATAAACTGACCCTGGGGGAATGTGTTGGGGTTGGTAAATACGGCCAATCCTATTAATGTTTTGAAAGGGGATATATGACTTGCTAATTTGCAGATGACACTAATTTTGGAAGTTTTACAAATATCAGCAGTGATGAATAAGAAAGGAGCTGAGAGGGCTGAAACATGGGAGAGAAATAACAAAATTAATTTCCATTTGTATAAATACTAATTGATACACCAGAGGAAAATGAATATGGCATGTTGGATATTAGCTCGAAAAGGAGAGTAATCACTTTCAGAACAGCCCCAAATTAGATGGAATCGCAGTGCAGCTTGCCAGGCAAACAAAGAGATTGCAGGCTTGGGAGAGTCTGGGCCGGCATCTCTTTGTTGTCACAAAGGGAGGTGGCATTTCTCCCTCACGCTGATTTCCGTCGTCCAAATCCACATCCTCCTCCACCTGTGGCCCTTCCATCTCAGGAGTGGTGCCCACAGCCCCTCTGTCACCTGGGTCAAAACTTTTTTTCCCCTTCCTTCTGTATCCAGACCATTGAGAATCCTGGTAGTGCTATCTCTGAAACAGATCCTGTATCTGTCCCCTTCAACCCTATATTCATTGTCACCAGCCTTGTTCAAGCCATCCTTAACTGCAACAGCTTCCTCCCTGGTCTCCCTATAAAATCCAACTGAAGGGAGCTTTCTAAGATGCAGATCAGATCATGCTGGTCCCCTGCTTCAACATAGAACCTACCAGTAGCTTCCCATTGCAAAGAAAGGAAAATCCAAACTTCTTGATATGATCTAGCCCCTGCCTACCTGTCTGATTTCACTTTCTTCTACTCTCTCCCTTGGCCACTCGGTTCCACCTATGGGTCAAATTTGTTCTCCTCTCAGCCTGGAATATTCTTCTTCCAGAAATGCGAAAGTGTGGTAGGTTCCTTCTCAGCACCCTGGTCTCAGCTCAAAAGTCACCTCCTCAGGGAGGCCCTCCCTGACCACCTCTGCTCGTATTCAATCACTCCCTATCCTGTTGCTATTTTTTTTTTTCATAGTATTCATCACTCTTGGGAACTGTAGTCTTTCTTTATTCATTATGTTTATTGACAGTCTTTGCTAGAATGCAAGCTTCTTGAGTTCAGAGATTGTGCTCTGTTGTTCATTCCTGTAGCTCTGATGCCAAAAATAGGTTTTGGTACACAGTAGATGATCAATAAATATTCGTTTACCATTGACTGTGAATTTGGTAAAACCCAATAATTTTCATTTGTCTCATTTACTTGCAGATATCTACTGAACCCCTACTTTTTTTTTTTTTTTTTTTTTTGAGATGGAGTTTCACTCTGTCGCCCAGGCTGGAGTGCAGTGGCCAGATCTCAGCTCACTGCAAGCTCCGCCTCCCACGTTTATGCCATTCTCCCGCCTCAGCCTCCCAAGTAGCTGGGACTACAGGCACCCGCCACCACGCCCGGCTAGTTTTTTGTATTTTTTTTTAGAGACAGAGTTTCACCGTGTTAGCCAGGATGGTCTCGATCTCCTGACCTCGTGATCCGCCCATCTCGGCCTCCCAAAGTGCTGGGATTACAGGCTTGAGCCACCACGCTCGGCCGAACCCCTACTTTTTAATTAGTCATGTGTTTAAAATTTTTACTAAAAATATTCATTGAACATCTACTAAGCACTGTTCTGGGCTCTGGGGATACAGCAGTGAACAAAACCAGCAGAGTCCTGGTCTCAGGGAGCTTCCATTTTAGTGGGGGAGACTGATGAAGACAATAAGCAAATCAATGTAGACTCAATTGTCAGGAAGCATTCAGTGCTATAAACAACAAGGCGAGCAGGGTAAGGATGTAGAGAGTGATGGGGTGAGCGGAGCTGTTTGAGCTCTGGTTATTAGGGAAGACTTCTCAGGAAATGACATTGGAACACTGACCCATGCTGAGAAGGAGTGTGTCAGCTAGCTTTTGCTGCCAAACAAGCCAATCCGAAATCCACTGGCTTAACACAACTACCATGAATTATATTCATGATTGACTCGTAATTCGGTGGCTTGGCTGGGCAGCTCTGGGTGAGCCGGCTTGGTTGGCCTCTACTGGGCCTGCTCAAGCTCCTGATCAACAGGGAGGTGGACCAGCAGCAGAATGACCTAGGACATCTTCACCACTGGTCTGGCAGTGGGGAGGCTGCTGGCCAGAGAGGCAACTGGGTCAGCTGGGCTACCTCACACGGCAGTCTCAAGCCCTGAGTGCTTTACAGGCTCTGCTTGCATCACGTGGGCTTCTGTCCCATTGGTCAAAGCAAATCACATGACCCAGAGTTAGGCGCTGAGAAATAGACTCCAACTCTGGATAGGATAAGGGGCAAAATCACATTGCAACGACAGAGACATGGGGTGGGAGGAGTCTGTAGCCACTTTGCACATGACCGATGCAGCAAGAAGCGCATGTGCACAGTGCCGTGCTGCCCACATGTTTGTTTCGTCTGCCTGGAGATGCTCAGAGCTACCTTGGCACCACGAAGGAAGGAAAAGATCTGAGGGCTAAGTTACAAAAAGTATGTTGGGAGATGACGGGGCATGGGAGAGAAAACCAAGCTCCAGGGAGGTCAGGTGACCCAGCCCCTCTTCATGGCCACAGAGAAGTCCTTTCACCTCTCTGGGCTTCCAGTTCCTCATTTGAGCTGCAAGGGGCTGGTGCCAGATGACACCCCGCTTCCTTCTGCGCGCTCTGTGGTGCTGGCATTCTGTGAATGCTGCAAAGAGTGAGAGTCTTATACTTAGCTACCCAAAAGGGTGCTAAAATAAGCGGCAAATTCTCTAAGGGCAGAAGGGTTTATTGTGCTTGGTCTTGCTCTAATGAGAGACCGTTAAGGAAAGAGACGTTCCAGCCAGTTATCTGACAGGGCTTGATCAAGAGATTCATTCCATTTGAGCTTCCTGGGCAAATGAATGACACCTGGGCTGTTTTGCCCCAGGGCCACAGAAGGTCACTTCTAAAGGGTCTCTGATCGAGAGAGGGTGGGAGCAGAGGCAAAAGGATGGCAGTATCACCCTAGGTCACTTCCTTTACTCTGAGCCCATGGGAATCCTTGTGATAGCAACCAATTTGCATAAAATGTCAGTTTCCAGCGCCGGGGCTTACTGATGTAAGTCTCCGTGTAGTTGCTGGTTTAATCATTCCATCTGTACTGAGCTCCTACTGTGTGCCAGGCACTGTGCCAGGCTCGGTTCACAATGGTTTAGAGAAACAGACGGGGTTTCTCCCTCAAGGAGTTAGGCATCCGGTGGGGCAAGTGGATATTTACCAAATGATCACGAGATTACAGCGGTGACCAGGGCTTGGAAAGGGAAGTGTACCGTGGCATGGCAGGTTATCAGTGGAGGTTTGACCTGGTCAAAGAAGTCAGGAGGGCTTCTCTGAGGAAGGGAGCTGGGATCTAAAGGGTGAGCACAGGTCAACCAGACCATGTGAATTCTATAGAGGGGTGACAGCACATGCTGTGGTTGGAGAGAGAGGAATATAAATACGAGAGACTGAAGACAGTCTGGGTGGGGCCCAGGGTCCCTGGTGCACAGGGAGGGCAGAGAAGTAGATAGAAGTCTGATGGGGAATGTGTTGTTGGCCAGAAAGCATGGGAAGCCACCATGGACGTTCAGTGTGGGGTAGGACAGCACAATCTGGAAGGCAGAGGAAGGACCCAGGGCTGTGTGCATGTTTAACTCTCATCCATGCAGCCTACCATTGTTTGCTGAGCACTGACAGTGGCCTGGGCCCAAGGCCACCTAGAGGAAAGGCACAGAGCCCATCCACAAGGCACTCTGGGTCTGGGTTGAAGTTGCTAGACTATAGAGGCCGAATAGCATTCCTCTCCCCGTCTTCATTTTAGATGCCTCCTCCGGAGCCTCTGGTGCTGATGGACCACTTCTCTTCCTGTTGCAGGCCTTCAGCTGAATTTCACTGCCTCCTGGGGAGACTTGCACTACCTGGGGCTCACTGGCCTGGAAGTGGTGGGCAAGGATGGCCAGGCGCTGCCCATCCACCTGCACCAAATCTCCGCCTCCCCCAGAGACTTAAATGAGCTCCCCGAGTACTCTGACGACTCCCGGACCCTGGACAAGTAAGTGTCTTATCAGAAGCTTTATTTTCATGCCCACAGGGTTTTGGGGAAACTGTTCTGCCTCTGAGACCTCAGATTCAGACATCAAATAGAATCGCATATGTCCCTCCCCCAGCCACCCTGTGAGGTCATGTGGTCAAGGGAAACTGAGGCTCAGGAAAGTGAGGTGGGAGGTGATTCTCCAGGGCCACACAGCTGGAAGCATCAGGCGGGATTTGAAAGCAGGTTCCCATGCTTCCAGACACAGCCGTGGTCTGCGTTTTCTTCTCCGTGCTTAGCAGAGCATCTCACACACAGTAGCTGTCTGTAAACCTTTGCAGTGGACGGTTCGGAGTTTACACATGAATGACCCAGGCCTGCCGGGGGCTGAAAGCTCCCTCTCCCCTCCTTGAGGTTGGAGGTGATGGCTCAGGAAGCCTCCACAGGCAGTGGTGGCTGCACTTTCCCCTGCACTTGTCAGATTTCATAAGCCAAGCTTGGGTCAAGTCAGTAAGCGGGGAAGCCTCAGATACAGCATCGATCCGCATGGACCTGCAACCCACAGACCAGCACTCGGCTACCCTGCTCTGCACAGCCTGAGGGCCTGGTCGCTGCTTGGAGGTGTGAACTAGGGGAGTCAGAGGGATGGGAGTTCAAATCCTGCCTCTGCCCCATGCCAACTATTAGGTAACTTTCTTAACCTCTCCAGTAATAACAGCAGTGGTTATAGTAATAACTGATCACGTAACTGCCAGTTTTTTAAGCAGTTATTAAATGCCAGGCACTGGGCTATGTGAAGCAGGTAACAGATATTCATTCACTGAAGCCTCAAACAGCCCTTTGAGGAAGGGACCATTATGAGCCCTACTATACTGATGCAGAGACAAATACGCAGAGGCCACCCAGACTAGTGCAGTGGCAGAGTCATGATTGGAACGCAGGCCTGTGGGATACCCGCCATCCACTCACTTAACCACTAAATTATACTGTCTCCCCTGCCTTGCTTTCCTTATTATCAGTAGAATGGGGACAGTCATTCCCATGGCATGTCACATTGCAGCCACATCCCTTGGCCTGGTGCTGAGCCCATGCAGAGTCGGTGGCAGGCTTCTCCCTGCTTTTCTATAAGGTGGCCCTGAACCGTGGCCTCACTCGCTGCTACCATTAACTGCTCATGGGCCCCTCTGACCACAACCGCATCCTGGCAAGTCACTCCTGAGTATTTAGGCTTGGAGCCTGGAGACCTGGCTCCCAGTCAGCTGGAAAAGTGATCAACGCACAGTGCAGCTTGTGGATCCTTCCCACCCACTCACCACCCTCCTGCCGAATTATCTGTTGGCAAATCCCAGGCCTGATAGCATTTCCTCTTTAGGTATTTCAGTGTATACCTCTAAACAATAAGGGATTTAAGAGAAAACATAATCCTGATACCACTGTTATTCTTGAAAAAGTTGCCTGTGGGCGTTGGCTCATGCCCGTAATCCCAGCACTTTGGGAGGCAAAGGCAGAAGGATCACCTGAGCCCAGGAATTCAAGACCAGCCTGGGCAACATAGTGAGATTATATCTCTAGAAAAGAAAAAAAAAAATTAGCCAGACATTGTGGTACATGTCTGTAGTCCCAGCTACTTGGGAGGCTGAGGCAGGAGGATCACTTGGGTCGAGAAATTCAAGACCAGCCTGGGCAATATAGTGACACGGTATCTCTACAAAAAAAAAAAAAAAAAAAAAAACTAGCCAGGCACTGTGGCATGTGCCTGTAGTCCCAGCTACTTGGGAGGCTGAGGTAGAAGGATTGCTTGAGCCCAGGAATTCAAGACCAGCCTTGGCAACATAGTGAGATTGTGTCTCTACAAAAAAAAAAAAAAAAAAAAAAAAAAAAAGCCAGGCATTGTGGCCTGTGCTTATAGTGCCAGCTACTCAGAGGCTGAGGTGGGAGGCTCGCTGGAGCCCAGGAGTTCAAGGCTGCAGTGAGTCATGATTATGCCACTGCATTCCAGCCTGGGCACCACAGTGGGACCCTGTCTCAACAAAAAAAAAAAAAAAAAAAAAAGAAAAGAAAAAGAAGAAAAAAATAACAATGATTTCTTAAATTACCAGATATCTCACAGATTCATAGTCCCCCCACCCACCCTTTTTTAACAGTTTGCTCATTTAATTTGAGATCCAGATAAGGTCTATGTGTTGTGATTGGTTACTATGTCTCTTAAGCCTCTCTAGGTTCTCTTTCCCTTTTTTCCATTTTTTTTCTTGAAAAATTATCTGTTGAAGAAACCAGGTGGACCTGAATTTTACTGGCTGCATCTCTGTGGTATTGTTTAGTCAGCTCCTCGCTCCCCTGTATTTCTAGTACATTGTTAATTAGATCTAGAGGCCTGATCAGATTGAGGTTTGACCACTAGGGCAAGACAGCCACATAGATGTCAGTGTGTGGCCCTGGGGACATATATAATAGAATGTCTGGTTGTCAGGCTCTTTGTGATATTGGAAGCTAGTCATGCTGGCGAAGTCGCTTAATTCATTAGGGGTTGCAAAATGGTGGTATTTTACGCCTGCTATTCTTTTAAAAATTTATTTGCTGAAATAACTGTGATAAAGAGAGAATTTCCCTCAATTATTTGGCTACTCTGTGGTGCAATTCAGATGGGAAAGGCAGCCTAAGTGCTCGATTCTCTCCCCTCATTTTCTTTTTGGCTTTCCAAATGACTGTTTCTCTAGCATCATCTAAAACTTGTTTCTTTTCAGGGATTAATATAAACTCATGGATTTTAAACATACAGTACTGCATTTGAAGAGTCAGTACTTTGCAGTTTTTATCCTGATTGATGTTTAAATTGTTCCCTCATGGATGCTGGGAAGTCCTGAGTCCTTTTAAAGCAGTCACCTTTCTTGCCTTCTGATGTGACAGATGCTTCAGGTTCAACTGGTATATTTCTTGTCCCAGACCTGGAATCAGCCATTTCTTCAAGAAGCCCTGGTTCCTTTTAGTGGGAAATGGTATTTAGAGACCATAATCTGGCCACTAGGGATGCTCAGTGCTACTCGGCCGGTTGCTGTTTTTAGGCTTTGTTATGGATAGAGCTAGGAATTCATTTAGATGTTCTTGAGAGTGTCTATAGAGTCTTCCTTTCACTGGCAGCTACAAATCCTCCAGCAGTTCTCTCTGCTCTCAGAATTGGGCAGGTTTGCTGTGGAGCAGCTCCATTTCTAGGACAGAAAGATAATTGCCTTTGGAAGGAAATAGAAGGTTCTCTAGCGGTCATCCTCAGTCAGCTTAGTTCCACAAACATTCCAGGAATTGCTGAATTTCTTCAGTTTTAAGATGCCAGCAATTGTCAGACACACCATCCATCAATTTAATACCAGCCTTTTAGAGAACAAAGAAACATTACCTCCTTGGGTAAACACTTCGATTATGAGATTTTTTTTTTTTTCCAAATTCACAACTTTAAAATGTAAAAGGAAACAAAAAGTTTTTTCAAATCTAGGAAATGTGGCAGCAGGCCAAGTTTCTCCCAGTACAGCAGCTGCGAGGTACCAGGAATCCAGGGTGTGGAGTGGGGAAGGTTCTGGAAAATGGGAGGGAGAGGGAGGTTGCTCAAGAGGCCACCAGCTGGGCCCTTTTTTCCAGAACCAGGCTTCTGAATGGCAGTGCCAGACACATGGGCCAGAGCCATGAGGACGAGGGCCTGAGGCCTGAGCTGAGGCATGCTGGGCAGGCCGGGGAAGTGAGAGGCACGATTATCCTTGGGAAAAACACAAGCCAACTTGAGGATGAGTAGATGTCCCAAGCAAGGGAACCAGAAACTGACCAGGACAGGAATGCTATAGGGCTGAGGTGACAAGCTCAGAGTGCCAGCTGGGAAGAGCATGAGGGAGCATGAGGGGCTCCTTCCTACAGGTTAGAGGCTTCCCTGGGATATCCAGGCCATGCGGTCACAGAGCATGGTCCGGCCAGAGCAGCTCCCACAGTCACCTGCCCCTCCTTCTACTTGTTCCAAGCCAAGAGCTGCAGAGCTCACATGGTGCTTTTGTACCTCTCTCCCCCAGCGTGGGAAGGAGGGCTACACTTCTTTCTAACTATGCTGTAAGGCCAACACAGCAAATTTACAGAAAGTTTGGAAACTTGAGAAAAATACTCACTTCCATACCCTCTGACCCAGTTATGTTTTTCACTTTTGAACATTCTCTCCTGGTCCTTGTCCTCATTTCTCAGCTTTAAAATCAGTGTCCTGCCTCCTCCATGTGACTGCAGTGTCCTCACAATGGCACCTTAACCCCTGTGAAATTTCCTTAACCATTTCCCGATTTTGAGATCTTTTAGGTTGTTATCCTTTTTTAAGCTAGTATAAATAACACTGTGATGAGCATCTTGGTTCAGATAGCCTTTCCTATATGATGAATATATTTTCCTTCTGGGGAAAAAAATCCCAGAAATGGGATCACTGGGCTAAAGGATTCTGAAAAATGACACATTTTCCCTTTTTTAAGAAAACCCTGATGATTGCTTTTCTGCACCTTTAACAGCATAACCTATTTTTTTTTTCCTTTTCAAAAATGTCTCATTTCGTAGATGAGAGACAACTTCTGACTGTTGTTCTCATCAGTCACACCTCCCCTTAACGAGCCTGACACAGCCAGGCTAGTGCCAGGCAGTGAGGACACACGCACTGGGGGCTGAGGGTGTGGGGGCCCCACTGTGATGCCCCCTGTACCCACTGAACCGCCCCCCTGCCGCTCCTTCCCCGTTGCTGCAGGTTAATTGATGGCACCAACATCACCATGGAGGATGAGCATATGTGGCTGATCCCCTTCTCGCCGGGGCTGGATCACGTGGTCACGATCCGCCTTGACAGGGCCGAAAGCATCGCAGGCCTGCGCTTCTGGAACTACAATAAATCTCCCGAGGACACCTATCGCGGGGTAAGCCGGGGAGCAGCGGCCGCGCTCAGTCCAGCATCAGGGAAGCAGCACCTTGATGAATGGCTGGCGTGGCAGCCGGAGAGGAGCATAAATCCTCCAGAACTTTCCAAACGGAGCTGGGGGCGTTATGTCCAGGGAGGGAGAGCACTGCTGTTTCCTTCTGCAAATGGCAAATGCAGGCTAAAGAGCTCAGGGCATTTCCAGGGAACTGCACAGCGCTGTTTCTCCTGGTGCTGGGAGGCCCTAGGCAGGTCCAGCCCTCAGCTTGCCATGGTCAGTTTCGGCCCTCAAGTCCATTGAGTGCCCAGGTGGCCGGGCCTCTGCTAAGGGCTTCATGGGCATTCATCATTTCACTGGATTCTCATCCCAGCCAATGGGAGGCAGGTGCGATTACCCCCATTTCTCAGGGTCTGAAACTGAGGTCCAGGAAGGTTCACTCACCCATCCAAGGCCACACAGCTGGAGTCTCCACCTTGGCTGGCCAGACCTGGAGCCCACACTGTGATTTCCATGTGATGTTTTGCTGAGTGAGAAGCAGCAGTCAGTCTTGGTGGGATTGAAGAAGAGAGCCTTGGAAGAGCCCTTTTCTCGGGCTTCTGGCCTCAGATGACTGAATGGGTGCCCTCCAGTCACGTAAGAGTGATGATGAGGCCACCGAAAGGTAGCAATTCAGCTGGAGGGCCTGAGTCTGAGTCTTAGCTTGGACCCTACCAGCTGCATAACCTTTGACACGTGACCTGCCTTCCCTGGGCTTGTCTCCTCATCTATAAAATGAAGAGGGAATAACACCTGCCACGGCAGATTGGCATCACCGTTGCCAGGTAACAGTTGACAAAGCCAGGATTCAGCCTCATGTAATCCCCAGAGCTGGGCTCCCCACCATGTACCCACCACAGAATTTATTCTAGGGCCTTAGGAATCGTATCACAGACCAGGTGTAGAGGCTCACGCCTGTAATCCCAGTACTTTGGGAGGCTGAAGCGGGAGGGTGGCTTGAGCCCAGGAGTTCGAGACCAGCCTGGGCAACACAGAGAGACCCCCATCTCTACCAAAAAATTAGGCAGGCTTGGTGGCACACACCTGTAGTCCTAGCCATTTAGGAGGCTAAAGCAGGAGGATCTCTTGAGCCCAGGTCGAGGCTGCAATAAGCTATGACCTCACCATTGCACTCTAGCCTGGGTGACAGAGCAAGATACCATCTCAAAGAAAGAAACATGAAAAAAAGAATTGTCACATCTTACAGCAGGATCGGCAGCCCCTGGCCTTCCCCGTGTGACAGGAGCTGAGCCAGCCTGCTCCTCTGAGCAGGCCAATCACGGACCCTCCCAACGCCACCCTGTGTCTCTGTGAGCGCTCCCCTAGTTTGACACATTGAAGAAGTCAGATATATCAACACTAAAAAACAGCCTTTTGAGGCAGAAGTTGCCTCAAGTTGTGCCTTTGGGCCTTAAAATTCCCTTGAGCAAATCACAGTCTGTCTGGTAGAGCTTCTGTGACCTGAATTCACCATCTGGAGATATTGGGCTGAGTTCCCATCTCACGGGTCTGGGCCCCACCAGCCAGACAAGGGCTACGGTGGGATGAGGTGGAGGCGGGGAATGGGCACATAGCCTGAGATGGGAGACCCCCACTGCAGTGAAAGGGATGCTGTGACTCAGATCCCACGCCCCAAGGGCCTTCCCGAGCACCAGCGGTCCCTGGCATGTGGTTGGAAGCCAGGGCCTTGGACTCCTGGAGTTGGGGCTTCAAATCCCTTCAGTGGCCCTCGGGCAAATCGCTTAGCCCCTGTGAACTTTAGCTTCCTTCGCCATTAGATGGAGATGGTGATAGAGGTCACCTCCAAGGGAATGCGCAGATGACAGGTGGCCACCTCTGCCCAAGGAAGTCAGGGATGCTTCCTGGAGGAGGTGTTGGCCCTGGAGGATGGACAGGGGTTTCCTGGGCCTCTGCTTTGCCATCACTGGATCCACTCTTGGGTGACTCTGTCCGGGACACACTCCAGCAGCACCAGGCTTATATCCTGCTAGCTCCAAGCCCAGCAAAAGAGAGCTCCCCTTTCCAGGCAAGCCAGCAAAACTCCAGGAGTCATGCTGATGGGCCCGGCCATGTCTCAAGTTCAGCTCGGGGGACCCAGGTAGGAATCCCCCTCGAGGAAAGCAGATGGAGAGACTGAGGACAGGGACCAGGTTTGAGTGACAGCCACGCCTGAAGCCAGGTAGCACCACCCTTCAGGTTTACTTATCCTGTGAGTAACTGACATAGAGAGGCTCCCAAAATGCTGAAGGAACGAGGGACCCCAGGGGCATGTGAGAGCCAGGCCAGGGACCCTTCCTCCCTTCCTTTCTGTAGGAGGAGCGCCTCTGCCTCTCCCTAGGGGAAAGCCACCAGTTGAATCAGCAGGTGCACCCATCTTGCTGACCACAAAGGTGGGCTAAGGTGTGGAGGAGAATCAGGCTCCAAAATCTGAAATCAGGGAGGGGGTGCTGGCTGTCGCCCGTCGCTGCCCATAGCACAGGTGGTGGCTGGGCCGCCTCAGACTCTGCCATTAGGACTTTGAGATTGACCAGTAGAACCTGGTTGTCTGGCTGGAGAACTCTGGCTAGAACAGGGAGAGATGTTGGCTCAAATCCAAGTGAATCCAGCAAGCTCTTAGAAGGCACCTGCTGTGTTCCAGGCCCCGAGGCAGACAGAGAGGTGGTCCAGCCAGACCCTCTGCCGTAAGAGACACCCAGAAGCCACTGGGGATGCTGCTAGGCATTCAGGCCCAAAAAGGATGAGCTCAGTGCCATGAGAAGAAAGATTGGGAAGAGGTCTGTCCTGTCCTAAGGGAGAGCTCCCAGAGGGGTATTGATGTGTGAGCCAGGGGTTGAAAAAGGAGCAATAGAGCCTAACATTCACAAAGTGTACAATTTGTGCCAGGCACTGTTTAGGGCACTTTACATAGGTTAACTCATGACTGTGCCCATTTAACAGATGAGGAAACTGAGGCATAGGGAAGGTAGGTAACATACACAGCTACTAGTGTTGCACATGGAAGCGCCTGAGTCCGTGCCCTTGACCTCCATGTCTTGCCGCCCCAGGCCGCTGCAGCTGGTGAGGTGGGCGGGGCCTTGGCCAAGTCACATGCCTCCCCTGAAAGCTGTGGACCAGAGAATGTATGCACGTGTCCACTGCAGCAGGGGGCTCGCCTGTCTTGCCCTCTGCTACCCGCCCAGCGCCTGCGCAGCACCTGGTACGGGAAATGGAGCCCGGTCAGGTGGCTCTGCGAAAGGCTCCCCATGGTGGGCACAGCTGCCGGCAGCTCTGGTCATGTCAGCACCACTCCTGTCCCCACATGGCCTGCCTCCCTTCAGTCATGTTACTTCCTTTGTTTGCCAGGCCAAGATTGTCCACGTCTCCCTGGACGGCCTGTGCGTCTCCCCACCAGAGGGCTTTCTCATCCGGAAGGGGCCAGGAAACTGCCACTTTGATTTTGCTCAAGAAATCCTCTTCGTGGACTACCTACGGGCTCGGCTGCTGCCCCAGCCGGCCAGGAGGTGAGGGGAAAGTGGGCGCCACGCACAGCCCCTCCCGGCCCCTGGGCCCGCTTGCTTTGCAAGTTGCTCTGATGTACATACTGAAAGGGTTTTGAAACGGTGATCAAACGCATGGCTTTTCAACTTAGTCATTTTCTAAAGCTCAGCCAAGCCTCACCGGAAGCCTGTAGAATGGACTTGCCTTGTCTGGGGACATTTGGGTTTTTCACAGTCTGGAATGCTGAAGATTTTAAATGCTTCGTTGCGTTTCCTGCTGGGAAAAGAGGCTACAGCCTGCCTCCGTTCCAGAAATGCCTGCTGGCCAGGTCGGGGAAGGGCCTTCCTTCTCCCGTTTCTGTGTTCCTGATTTAGAAAGATTCAAGGAGAAAAATAGAGCTTAATATTTCATGGATTCACTGGGATTTCTTGGCCCCAGTCTCAGCCGCATTAAGTTCATAACGATTTGTAAATGCCACGTTAAGTTTACTCATTTAAACCCCCTGATGTCCAAACGCCAGAGGCCAAGCTCTAGAAACAAAATGAGTTTCCCTGCACTGTTTTGGGATTGGCTGGCTGGGCTGGTCACTGGGAAGTCACTTAATTGTAACATTGCCCTTGAAATGAAAGAGAACCAGGCTCAGGCTGGAGGGCACTGACAGTGGACCAGGGAGAGAGGCCCCGTGGGGAGGACTGTGGAGGAGAGAATCCTTCCCAAGGGCTGGCTGCGTGAACACTTTGATGTGTCCTTTGGGAAATCTTTCCAGCCACCCTTTGACCTAGCCAGTATGATGCCCATTTTACAGATGTGGGAACTGAGGCCCTGGCTGGTGGAGCCAGGTGCTGAAGATCATGAAGCCAAAGCCGTCAGGGCTCTGCCTGCCTTCCAGCCTCCTCTCGCTTCTCTCTCCCCATCCTGCCCCAGACTCCAGCCCTCTGGCTGCTTTCTGGGGCAAACACCAGCAGCCCAGTGTCTTCCCACCTCGGGCCTTTGCTCTGCTGCTCCTCTGCGTGGAACACTCAACTCTGACACTTCCCAAGGCTGCCTCCTCCTGGAGGCCTTCCCAGAGCACTCCCTGAGGCAGCCTGCCCCACCCAGGCCCTCTGCCCTGTCACCCTGTCCTGGCTCTCAGCACAGCGTGGACCCTCCTTGTGTTTAAAGACATAGAGGGGGTTGGTTAAGAAAGGGGGCAGTGGTACCAGACAACCTCGAGTCCCATCCTGGTTCTGCCACTACCAGCTGCATGGCCTTGAGCAAGTGACCTCACTTCTCTGTGTTCCGGTTTCCTCATCCACATCCCAAGCATCTAAAAATACCCACCTCCTAGGGTTGTATTGAGGAATCAAAGAGTCCATTTCGGGAAAGCCCTGAGCCCTGTGCCTCCCTGGCACAGCATCCTGCCGGCATTGGCAATGACTGTCATCTAGAGCGGGAACTCCACGCGAGCTGGGGCCTCATCTGTCTTTTCCCTGCTGCGTCCTAGGGAACACTAAACTGCCACGTTTCTTCAAAGCCTGTTATTTCTGGTGATTCTGGGCCATCGTGAGCTTCTTCATGGTGCTGTTTTATGCTTTTTCAGGCTGGACATGAAGAGCCTGGAGTGTGCGAGCATGGACTACGAGGCGCCACTGATGCCCTGTGGCTGTATCCTTCTCCTCCCGCCCCACCAGCACATTCTGGGCCCCGAGGCAGTGCCTGGGCCGCAACTGCCCAGTCGGGGTTTCAGGCGGCCACATTTGAGGCAGCTGGAACTCCATGCAGGGAAACCAAGGCAGAGGATGGGAGACCTCCTGCATCCTCAGGGCCACTGGGAGCTGCTGGGACTGGGGCAGCCAGGCTAGTTCCAGATCCCACTCCTGGCAGCTGAGGCTGGAGGGGCAGCCTCAGGACTCCAGCTGGGAGGGGCTAGAGAAGCTGACACTGACCCCAGCGGCTAGACTGGGGAGGGGAGTGTCCTGGAACCAGCCAGGGAGGAGGTGAAGATAGAAATAGCTTGGCAATCCAGGCACAATGGCTCACACCTGTAATCCCAAAGCTTTAGGAGACCAAGGAGGTTGGATTGCTTGAGGCCAGGAGTTTGAGACTAGCCTGGGCAACATAGTAAGACCCCATATCTTAAAAAAATAAAATAAAATAAATTAGCTGGTGGCACATGCCCATAGTCCAAGCTACTTGGATGCTGAGGTGGGAGGAACCCTTGAGCCCAGGAGTTCGAGGCTACAGTGAGCTCTGATTGCACTGGTGTACTTTAGCCCAGGCAGCAGAGCCCAGCACTCTGGTACTACTATCATCCCCATTTCACAGCTAGGAAAACTGAGGCACAGAGAGGCTCAGTAATTTGCCCACGGCTACACAGGTGAGAAGGGGTAGGACCTGGGGGAGGTGAACCCAGGCAGCCTGGCTCTAAGGCCCGCTCTCTAGCCGGCCAGTTCTGGAAGCACTGTCTCCAGCTATGCCATCATCTGGGAGCCACCCGGCCCCTTTTCAGGCCTCCCACCCGGCCTGCTCCTGGGAATGCGGGGAGTGAGCAGGGCACGGGGCTGAACTGGGAAAGGGCCTGATGCCCAGCTCTGCACGTGGGACTTCAGCAGCAATGGTCTCCCTGCGCCGGACCATGGTTCCTGGTGCTGTGAGGTTTACGTGTCCCCTTCTTAGCCTCCTGTCTACTTGAAAGGGACGGAGGAGGGAGCAGGTACTCTGTTCTTATCATTTCACAATCAGAGAAACTGGAGCGTTTCGTTCAATACCATACAATGAGTTTGTAACACAGATGTTTCCCCATCCCGCCTGCTCCCTGGAGAGCACCCTCTCCTCCCATCCTGTCTCCTGGGGCCTAGAGGAAGGCTTTGCATTCCTAATGCACGCACATGTGCTCACATGCATGCATACACACGCACACACACGCACACACACGCACACTCACATGCACTTTAAGAAAATGTGATGCCACCTATATTTTGATAGGCTCTAGTCTCAATAAGAGAAAAATGTTTTTCTCTCATTCATCAATATAAACCCAAAATAATTTCTCTTAGTTTGCCATTGTTTTACTGTATTCTGGAAAAAAAAAAAAAAATTCAGCCTTCTTTTCCTTAATAAAGTGTCCCAGTCATTTTCCAGTTTCAGCTTCTCACCAGCTGGGGCGACCCGTATTACATCGGCCTCACTGGCCTGGAGCTGTATGACGAGCGGGGAGAAAAAATCCCCTTGTCGGAAAACAGTATCCTTTCTAGGACAGGAGCGGGCTCCACCCAGATTGAAGGGAGCATGGGGGGGTCGAAAACAGGGCAGAAGCCTCGCGTGCAGAGGGAAATGGCCCTCTAGGAACCAGAGCCCAGGGGGCTTTGCTTATAGTCAGATGCTGACCCTTAGGGATGTGCAGCAGAGAGCAGCCCCCAGCCCTGCCTGCTAAGACAGCAGGAGCAGGAAATCCACAAGCCAAAGAGACCTGTGGTCCAATGAATTGAGAGAGGCTGCCAACTATAGCCTCCTCTTCTCGGAGAACCACAGATGTTTTGGAGTTCCAAAGGCTCTGACAAGGTCTGCAGGGAGAAGCCTATTGCACTGTGTTCAACTCAGTGTGTCCTGAATTTCTTAAGCTTGGAACCCTCTGCCCATGGTATGCCCACACCAGAATTTGCAAACTGTTAGCCCAGTGCATTTTAAAATGAGTTGCTAATATTTTTAGAAATCAGGAGGTCTCACATGAAAACCCTGATCTCCATTTTTCCCTTGAGAAATTGGCAACATAGGCCCTTGATTTTGCATGGTGACAATAGCTGGACCTGGTTACCTGTTGCCATTTCTCCCCAAGCATATCCTTCTGGTCTACCTTAGCCCCCACTCCTCCCCTTGTTATCTACCAGGCCCTGAAACACGCTGCTAATATTTACTGAGGGCTCACTCTGTGCTACCTCATCTGCCCTCACAAGAATCTTGTGAGGTGATTGCTGCTGTTATCCCCATTTTACAGATGAGGAGCCTGAGACACAGAGAGGTTGAGTAACTTGCCTAATGTCACACAGCCAGTGAGTCTGTGTCCAGACACTGGCTCTTGGCCAAGCACTAAGCTATCCTGCCTCTTTTATGTAACCTGCCTGGCCCCCTCGGATCTTGAATCTGTGATCGCTGGCCCACCACAGTTAGGGAAATACCAGGGCAGGTCGAACCCTAAAGCCTGCCTTGCATCTGTTTGGGGTCCCTGGCTTCCAGTCGGATCCCTTTCTGCCTTCCCCGGGTGCCACCACCCTCCTCAGCTGGGATGAATCATTGTTGATTTTTTTTAATCATTATTAGTGACTTCTCGAAGCTATAAAGTTTCATTGATTTTACCAAAGGGCTCTCATCTGGTGCACTCTGAGATCCTCACATCCATTCTGGGAGCTGGAGGTTTTTATAGCCATTTTACAGATGGGAACACAGGTCCAGGGTTGACATGTGACTTGCCCAAGCTCTCATAGGTCATAATGGCAGAGGCAGAGCTAGAAGCTGGGTTCTGCAGATCATATTAGCTGGGTCCAGCTGCCCCGGGTCCTTCCACACTGGCCAGGAAGAGAGGCTCGGCATGATCCTTACATGCCAGGGCAGAATCCAGCCACCACCCCATTCCCTTCCAAAAGAAAACCTCCGCAGAGCTTGCCCTCCACCCTCCCAAGCAGCAGCAGCGTTTTACGTCCCCAGCTCCAGCCGCTCCCTGCAAGGCCTCTTTTTCAGCCTTCTAGGTGGTTTCCTTCTCTCTCTACTTGAAACTGTCCACCTCTCCACACACACCTGCTCCCCTTGGGCCTGGCACTCCCCATTTCCCCAGGACACGTCCAGTTCAGCTGTCACTGATGCGGCTGCCCAGAGCATCAGCCCTGCCAGCCCCAGAGTCCCTCGAGCCACGCTGTCAGCCTGAGGGCAGCTGGCAGCCCCCGAACACACAGATTTGGGTTATGGCAACTTAGACGCCTCCTCAGATATTGCGGCCTTCCCTGACAGCGTGAACTCCCTGGAGGGCGTAGGTGGGGACGTCCGCACCCCGGACAAGCTCATCGACCAAGTGAACGACACCAGTGATGGCCGGCACATGTGGCTGGCTCCCATCCTGCCAGGCCTGGTGGGTTCCCAGCAGCGGCCACCGCAACTCCTGGCCCTCAGGCGGCCAGGGGGACTTTCTTTCCCTGGTCTCAGTGACGCATCTTTCTTCCAGGTCAAGTTAATCTCAAGCCAAGATGCTTGGGAGCTGTCAGAAAGGTTTAGGTCTTTGCTACCTTGCCTGATGGGGCCAGCTCTTCCAGGCCAGCAATTCTTTCTCTTTTATAAGGGGACACCAGGGGTGAAAGGGGCCCCATGGGAATCTGAAGCCAGGAACCCCAGCACAGCTGCCTGAGGGCTTGGTCTTCCTTGGTCCCTGCAGGCAGCCCTCTCTGGTTCTCTGCTCTGCCTGGCTTTGCAGCCGCTGTGCCCTCTTCCTCCCCACCCAGCTCTCTGCACGCTCACAGTTTCTGCCTCTTCCTACATCACCGGGTAGATGACCCCAACACGGCCGCCCTGCCCTCCTTCTGGCCCCAAATTGGCCTGGTCAGCTTTTCCGGCCAACTGACTCAGTTTCCCAGATCTCAAGCCTTGCACTGAGTCCTGCTTAGCTTTTAGCTCTGAGGCCTCATGGTGAGCTGATGTGGTTGGTTGTGGTGGAGAGGAAGGGGAGAAGCCACAGGGCATGGACGGGGTGGTCAGCCCCCCTCCAGCCTCTCAGCCCGGGGCCAGATGCCTGGTAGGGATGCACAGCGGGTTCTTGACAGCCATATGACCAAGGATGTGTCCCTTGTCCATGCCATGGGACTGAATGGGGGATCGGGGGCACCTTTTTCTCTCAAAACGCAGGAAGGTACAGCGTCAGCAATTCTATGATGGAAGTTTTCCAAAGGCCACCCTAAAATTAGACCCCCCCTATTGAGCGTCCATCAGCTTCCCCTGCCCCATTGGAGAGGGGGCAACACAGCTCTGTCCTCCCTGAGACCCGGGCCACCCACTGGCGGCCAGTGTGTATTTTCCATTGTCTAGCACTGGAAGGCCTTTTGGGGTGAGGCAACTTCAGCTGTTGCTCTCGAGGCTGGACTCCAACATCTGTATCTGCTTGAGCCTCACAGGCAACTGACTTTGAGGACACTCGCCCTGACCTTTATTTGTTTCCATGGTCCAGCCAGGAGGCTGGCCCTCCCCGAGCAGCCCCACTCCCTCTTGGGACATTCTGAGGATGGTCACAGGCTGGGGCCCGGGGCCCGCGGCGGGACTGAGCCTGCAGCCTGTAGCCAGTGTGGAATGCTTATTTCTTGATTCTATCTTGCAAGGGAGGGTCCCCCCGCTAATATCTGAGAGCCTTGGTTGGGGGTGGGGAGAGGGAGGGCTGTTCGAGGCTGCCCCGTCCCACTTTCCCCACTGGATTCTGCCCCGATCTAGACAGCCCTCCTTACTCCCCCAGCAGAGGTTCACAGACACGCACTGGACATTGCCCAGCAGCACCTTGGCATTGCTTCTCAGCGATGGTTTGGGGAAAGGACAGACAGGGTCAGAAGCTGATCACCATGGCTGGTGCTCAACCCGAGCTGGAGACTGTCCCTTTAGCTCACGGGGCTCTACACTATTTCTGGGCCTGACCTGAGGGGACATAGGGGATGGCCAAGGATGTTCCCAATTCTCCACTGGCATTTAAATGAGGGCCCCGCCAGGCCCAAGCACACAGGCCCTCCAAGAGCCAGCTCAGCGGTTTGTTGCAAACGCAGCCACACGTGACCTGACTCAAGATGGGCTTCGAGGAGATGAAAGGGGGCGGAACTCCAGGCTGGCCCACGTGGCAGGCGCTGCCTTGGGCACCACTGCTCACCCCCAGCCCACGCCTGGCGCCCCCAGCCCAGCCAAGTGCCTCTGTTTCCAAACATGCCTGTTTTAATTAGTTCTGCTCTCTGACAGGTGAACCGGGTTTATGTGATTTTCGATCTGCCTACCACCGTGTCAATGATCAAACTGTGGAATTATGCGAAAACACCCCATCGAGGGGTGAAGGAGTTTGGCGTAAGTACTTATTAGCTGAGTTTTTTGAGATAATTATGTTCGTTGGTAATTAGGCCGCCGGCAATTATCATTTGTCGCAGTTTGATTTACTTCTCTCTGTTGCAACCCTCAACACAAATGCCTGGTCCTCAGATGCAGGCAAATTTACCACCGAACCATGAATTCAGAACCTCCTGGCAGTGATTTCAGTGTCACCCTGAACAAATAGAAAGTGGGTTCTCTTTCATCTTTTTCTCTAGAATCCCACTGGTTTGGGGCAGTGACCCTGGGATGGGGAGAACAGGGACCCTGGAGACCAGAGACCTGAGTTTCCTTCCAGCTCTGCTGCTTGTGCTAATGGTATTAAAGCCCCTCAGGCCTCAATTTCCTCATCTGCAATGTGGGCTGATGGCTCCTGTCTTTCCCAACGGCTGTGAAGATCTGAAATCACAAGGCAGGCACAGCACATAGCAGGCACTTGTTCCTGGCAGCCCCGTCTTCCCAAGGAGAAAGGCTCAGAGCAGTAATGCGCTTTGCCCAAGGTCAACGTGGGAGGGAGGAGGGGCACCCATGAGCTCCGCCTCATGTCCCTGCAGCTCCTGGTGGATGACCTGCTCGTGTACAACGGGATCCTGGCCATGGTGAGCCACCTGGTGGGGGGCATCCTGCCCACGTGTGAGCCCACTGTGCCCTACCACACCATCCTCTTCACCGAGGACAGGGACATCCGCCACCAGGAAAAACATACCACTATCAGGTATGGCCCCAGCCGGCCCCATGGCCTCCCCACCAGCCCTAACGAGGATGGATGGCTGGGACACACGGCCAGGAGCCTGATCGAATCTTGTGTTTCCTTCCTCCCCGCAGTAATCAGGCCGAGGATCAGGATGTCCAGATGATGAATGAAAACCAAATCATGACCAACGCGAAACGGAAGCAGAGCGTTGTTGACCCAGGTCAGTGGCGTCTCTCTGCCCAGAGCATCACGCCTCGGGAGCTCGGTCTGAGTACAGAAGGAACTGGTGGCCTTGCACCCCCGCCCGCACCCCTGCCTGCCCCTAGACCCCTCTCCTCTGCCCAGGAGCCTGCCCAAAGGCCTGGGGAGGGACCAAAAGGGTCAGAACCAGGGGAGCAACATGCTTCCGGCTTCTTGCAGGCACCTGTAACAAGTGGAGCTTCCTGAATCCAAGTGTCATGGGCACAGAGTGGGGAAGCAGTCAGGGGCAGAGCACCATGTTAAAGGGGTTTGCACTGGGCCGTGGGAAGCCAGTAGAGATGCCCAAGGCGAGGGCTTCCTGGAAGACGTGATGTTTGAGCTGGATCCTAAAGGATGTGAGGAGTGTGCCAGGCAGCCTGGGCAAACACTGAGAGGGGTGTTATGGCAAAGCCTGCTCCAGGCAGAGGGAAGGGGCCAGCATGCCAGGCACCCCAAGAGCAGGGACTTTTCCAAGGACCTTGAATGGCAATAATCCAGGCTGCTGGATTTCACTGGGGAGTGTGGGGGGACCCCTTCAGGGTTTGAGACTTAGTAACTCCAGTCCCTCTGTGCCCTGTCATGACAGCCTTACGTCCCAAAACCTGCATCAGCGAGAAGGAGATGAGACGACGGCGCTGCTGATGGGTGAAGAAGGGAGAGCTGGTCCTCCCACTGCACTGGGCTCTGTCACCAGCCCCACTTAGCACCCGTGTCCCTCACCCTCAGTCCCAGGAGCTGGAAGCGAACCACAGTGTTGAGGGGAGCCCGCTGGGGAGAGGGGACTCGGGAGGACAGCCCTGGATCCTGCTGGAGTGACAGATGGCTGTGGCTGCAGGGCACGGCAATCCCCTGTAGTTCCAGATTGGCTGCAGGGAGCCCGGGACACCTGCTTTCATGCCTCTGCTGTGAGACCCAGCAAAGCAGGGCCCATGACCACTTGGGCCTGGGCTGACCCTGACTCGGAGCAGGACAATGACAGGGTGGGGAGGCCTCCCAATCCAGCCTCAGAGGGCCCAGAGAATGGCTGAGCAGGACAGTGGAAGACAAGACCCCATCCCACAACTCTAGCAGGCAGGGCCGCCCAGGGAGACTCTGCCTTCAGAAACCTGAGCTTCAGCGGCCAACACCCCCATTCTCCTGCACATCCCTGTCTCATTTTGGGACTGGTGGAGCTGGCTGAGAGGTTGGGGTCGTTTCCTGGTTACATGGGTCCACAAGACCCTCTCTCATCCCAGTATAGGGGCCTCTCTCCTCTCATTGGGCCTGATAAGGGACTGGCCAAGGCTGTGCATCCTGCAGAGGGAAGGAAGTCAGCTGGGCCACCCGCCATCCACCCTGGCAAGAGCTGGGCCTGCTCTGGCAGGCCAGGGCATCCTCTCTGTGCTGCTGCCAGGCCAGGAAGGATGGGCGGGCGGCCAGCAGGCTGGCAGCTCCAGACCCCAGAGGGCCAGAAGAACCCACCGCAATGCCCTCTGGGTGCAGGTGTTGGGGGATGCCGAGGACACTCTCCCCATCTCCTCCCACCCTTGAGCAGGCCCTCCCTGCACTCTCTGCCACATGACCCTCCTGGTCTGATGGAGGCTGTGCTCACTGACGCGGCTGCTTTCTGTCTATGCCCCTGTGCCCTTGGAGGCAGGCAGTGAGGTGCTCCTTTCCCGGGCCCCCACCCCGTCTCCCTCTTCAGCCACTTCCCAGCGAGTTGGAAATGTGCCTTGCACCCCCAGCCGAGTGAAGCCCAGAACGCATCTATTTCCATCAATGTAACAAGCTCGGATCAGGGACCTAATTGGTTTCCCAGTGGTGGGTAATTTCTCATTCCAAATATTAATCCGTTGTTTTTCTGGCGCCCAGCCCAGCCCGCCGCAGTACTGTACTCGAGGTACGTTCCTATGCAACCGAGAGCCCCGGCAAATACTTCATGAGCTTAGCAGCCTGGGCTCGAGCAGCTATGCAAATGCGCTTTTCATCTGGCGTGCGGGGCTGATGGGAAGATAAGAATTGTTTCTCCCGGAGAAAGATCCATCATTTCTCCAGCTTCCAAGCCCCCGGCACCTCTGCTCAGCTCCCAGATGTGACGAGCACCTCCCGCCGGGGGAGTCAGGGGCTGATCAATCCAGCTATTGTACCCAAACCGGTGCCACCGCATTAAAGGGAGCCCTGGCTGCTCCTTCCCCACTGAGATGTGGGCACAGGTCGGATTTGTCAGGGAGATGGCACTAACACGACTCAAGCTCAGTCCCAGAACCTCAGCTGATGTTTATAATAATCGTATGTACTGTGCAATTTAGGAGGGGAAAAAAGGCTGTACAGGCGTTAACTCTAAAATAAATTTCTATTTTTTTCCTCTTGCAAAATTAATAAAAGATGTTACTGAGAATATAATCCGAGTCACCGGATTTGGGGTCAGACAGGGAGTCCGTGCTGGCTCCAGGAGCTGAGTGACACAGAGAAGGCCTCACCGAGCTGCAGATGGGGTCGTGATCGCACCCTGACTGCGCAATGAGATTGTCATGCCATAGCAACAGGCAATAGTAGCCCATCCATACAGACTGGTTATTACATGCTGTAACTTCTTTAATCCACATAACACAACCCTTTGCGGTGGGCACTGTTGTTATCCTCACTTTACAGATAAGGGAGCTGAGACACAGAGAGGTGGTGCGACTTTCCTGGGACACACAGCTTTGGAAGCTATTAGCCAATGCACAAATCCTCAGACGGCCCCTGGAGAGTTGAGGTGGGGGTGACAACCCTTGGGTCTTTGGCCCCGGGGTTTCCCTTCACCATGTGTGGATCCTGGAATGGCGGCCCCCAGACCCCCAATTCCTGGGCCTCCTCCCTGCCACCACCCCCCACTCCCCTGCTGCCTCCAGGGATGAATGTTGGCAGCTTGTGGCTTCTGGATAAAGCAGCCCTCGACTGGAAAGAGGGCTCAGCTGAGGAGGGTCACACTGCGGTTCAGGCACTAGCAATAGCATTGGCAGCAGGTAGGAGAGTCCTTTAGAAGCCCCATTTTCCTTCGCTGTGTGGGTCGGAGGAGAGAGCCCCCTCTGTCCAGCCAGGAGAGGCCCAGCCCCAAGCATAGAGGGTAAACAGCAGGGGCTCTGGCCGGCCTGCTCCATGCCCCCGTTCCCTCTGATTTCCTACAAAGACAGAGGCCTGGCTGTGCCCAGCCACCCTGGTGTTGGAGAACAGTCGCCCTCCCTCCTCTTGGCGGAGGGATCTCTGGGCCAGCCCTGGAGACCCTCAAGGGCAGCCCAGATCTTCCAGCATTCCCTCTGCGAGAGTGGGAGGCCGGCAGGGGTGTCCCAGCCTCTCAGCTCTGCTGAGCTCTCCAGGCCCCAGCCAGAGCCCTGGGCTGGAGTCCCGTTATTCAGGAGCCAGGCAAGTGATGTCAGGGAGTGATGTCAACACTGGCCTGCAAGGACCGTGGTCAACACAGCGGCACAGGCCCTCCGAAGGGGTCAGCCACACCTCAGATCTAAGAAAAGCCAGACAGCCAGGCATTTCGTTTATCTTTAATGTGAAATCTAACTTTTAAATGTTGGCTCCACTTCAACAAACAGGCAAACACACACTGAGTGAGCCAACTATTAAATAAAACCTGTCCACAGGCAGGCCCCGGTCGGTTCACCAATCCTGCTTGCTCAGCCTGCCTCCCTTTCTCCCCACCTCCAACCTGCGGTTCAAGGAGTGTCCCAGACTGGAATCTCCTCTCCAGGGAGGAAAAAGGAGAGAGGGGCTCCCTCCTGGTCTGTCACCACCCCACTCCTCAGCCCCCAGATGGGCAGAAAGACAGGACGACTGTGAGGTGACACCTCTGGGTCCTGGAGGCGGCAGCCCCCACCCTCAGCTGTTGTGGGTTAACAGAGGCCCTCCTTTCCCTCCACATCCTGAGGCTTCCCGTTCCGTGCAATGCCCCCCAATCCCCAGTGCCCCAACAAACAGGGACATAAATGACTCCTGGGCTGCCACTGCCAGGGGTCAGGGCTTGTTGGCTCCCTGGCATAGGTGACTGGAAATGGGCCTCTGCTGCACCTGACAACAGGGCTATGGCACGGGCTCCCGGTGGAGGCTCCCACAGGCCTCCAGCCCTTGGGGACCTGCCCCCTCTGTTCAGCCGTGGGAAAGACCTGCCTCCCACCTCCCCGGAAGTTCCAACACTGGCACTACCACCCCGGAAGGACCCAGTAGGACCCCCAGAGCCTGCCAAGGGGGGCTCCGCAGCCAGGCAGGTGGCAGCTGCCCCATGCCCAGGCACATGTGCTGAGATGCCCGGGTTCCCGCTCCCGGCCTCACTCCTGCCTCACCTCCCGGAGCCAGGACAGTCCCTTTCCGAGGCCTCCAGGCCCCACCTGGCCTCTTCACAGTCCACAATCCGGCGGCCCAGGCTCTTGGGTTTGGCAGACTCACTAGATGATGTTTAATTTTTAAAAATGAGTTGCCTTCCTTTATTATCAGGTTTCACATTAAAATGCAGATTCCCTGCTTCTCCAGAAAGACAGGAAGATCTGGCAACCTGGTCCCATGTTCCCAGCTGGCCCCAGAGCCTAAGCAGTGCTCTCCAGATGGTCCTGGTCCCCACCAGCCCCTCTTGTCTCACCCTTGCCTGCAGTCCTCCCTTGTATGACCATCACACACACACACACACACACACACACACACAGCCAGCGTGTGAGTTTGCAACCCCTGAGATGGAAGCAGGTTAAGGAATGTGGAGAGGAGGCGACGTGGGGACAGTGCTGCGGGGCCCAGCACACATGGGGCTGGCAAGGTTGGGTCCCTCGCGATGAGACCCCAGCCTCCCAGGCATGCACAGTGCTCTCTGGGGCCCTAAGACTTGAGCCTCTGACGGCCAGAGGCTGGGGAGAGCAAGAAGTGGCCAGCCTCCATCCAACATGTTGCGTGCATCCCTAGGTGCCCTGGGGGTGCCTCCCTGGCTGTGTGGGCATGTCCCAGATTGCCGTGTGCAGTGGGGCGTTTATGACAGCACTCCAGTCTCCTAGCCTCACTGGGAAACGGCTCCACTCACAGCTCCCGCCACAGGGGCAGCCTTTGACAACCATATGCTGTGATGATGACAACAAAACTCCTAACAGTGGCCAGGCACGGTGGCTCATGCCTGTAATCCCAGCACTTTGGGAGACTGAGGTGGGTGGATCACTTGAGGTCAGGAGTTCGAGACCAGCCTGGCCAACATGGTGAAACTCCGTCTCTACTAAAAATACAAAAATTAGCCGGGCATGGTGGCGGGTGCCTATAATCCCAGCTTACTCGGGAGGCTGAGGCAGGAGAATCGCTTGAACTTGGGAGGTGAAGGTTGCAGTGAGCTGGGATTGCACCACTGCACTTCAGCCTGGGCAACAAAGTGAGACTCCGTCTCAAAAAAAAAAAAAAATCCTAATAGCCAATACACACTAAGCCCTATCCTGAGAGTGAACGCGCTGCAGTCTCTCCTGAAGGCACACAGTGGTGCGATGCAGTGAGACCTGGGCTGCAGGCACCACTCTCCCCAGCAAGCTGATGAGGACTCACATGCAGTGGCCCTGGGGCCAGCTGCCCGGGTCCCAGTCTAGGCTCCACCAACCACTTCCTGACAGTGCAACCTTGGCAAGGGACCTTACGCCCTGGGGCCTGGGCTTCCTTACCCAGGCTGCAGTGGTACCAGCAGTACCTCTGTCATGGAGAGGAGCTCTCAGGGCTCGGGCCCACTGGTGCTCACATCAACTCCATCCACCATCAGACGGAGGCTGGGATATGACTCCTGGGTCTGGGCTCTTCCCCAGAGCAACGTGGCACTACCTTGCACCCGGCGCCTCTCAAATTTCCAGGGCACCCTCCCAGCCTTGGCAGATTGGTCCACAAAGGGCACTGACCTTAGAGCAGCCAGCCCATTGGCTGAACAGAGATTAATGTCCCGATGTCCTGCCCCTCCTCCGCCAACTCTTTCCGCTTCCCTATCCATTCCCTTCCTTCCCCTGATTGGCCCCTGGGATTCTTCCTCCTTTGCCTTCTCTCGCTGGGTTCATCCCGCTTGCAGCTCCCATCCCCAACACACACCCCCTAGAAGTTCCCAGGAGGGCCGGGAAGAAGGGGTAAGAGTGGGTGCACCCGGCTGGGCGTGTTGCACCCAATCACCAGCTTGGCCCTATCACAGAGCTTCTACCATGCAGAGGCCCCTCCCACTCCCCCTGGAGTCCCAGGACCCCTCATTACCCTGGGTCCCGGCTAATCCTGGCAGCTGCCCACTCCCCTGCCAGGCCTGTGGCCATCAGCCTGGCCCCTGGCCTCCCCTAAGGCAGAAACTCAGACAATGTCAGTCTGAGATGACATGTGGCCCAAGGAGCAATTACCAGGGTGATGTGAGCCAGGCAGTGCTGGGGACAGGGCAGGGGCCCTGCACAGCGATTTCCTGTCTGTCCGTGCAGTAAATCCCCACACGGAGGAGACTGGTCTTTCCTCATGACTGCTGGTCCCAGGCTGGGCTGAGTTTGTCTCAGTCCCACGGCAGCTAGACCTGGGGCGGGCACAATCACTCAGTGCTCCACAGCTCAGCTCCTGGGCGAGGCTCAACTCCAGCCCTCCAATCTGGGGGCTCCAGGGCCATTTCTTCCATGTTTGGGGGCAGGGAGGGGACCCTTTTCTAATTCATCCACTCAGAGAGCAGCTTTTCCTGATTTCCACCAAGGCCTCATCCGCCCGGCAGCATCCCAGCCTGCCCAGCATCAAAGCTCCGGACAGGAGCCTGGCTCAGCTCTGTCACTCACCTCCAAGCCCCATGGGTGCCACTGATCAGACGCCCACTTCCCTCCATCCCCAGGGCCAGCGCAGCCCAAGCCACTGCCATCTCCCAACAGAACCCTGCTGCGGCCCCCTCCGGTCACCCTGCCTCTGTCCTGCACCCCATCTCTCAGGCCTGCCCCACACAGCCAGAAGAAACCTCCCAAAATGCAGAGCCCATTTTAAAACCCTCTGCCTTTTAAAACCCTCCTATCAATCAGTGTCTCCGGTGGCCTTCAAGATGAAGATGACGGTCAAACTCCTCGCCACAACCCCCAAAGCCCCACAGTCTCTGACCCCGGCAGACCCCATGTCCTCGCCCCGAGCTCCAAGCACTCTGTCCTGTCATACAGTGCTGCACACGGCCACATGGCGCTCACGGTGCTCCTCCAACCCCAGGGCCTTTGCACCTGCGGTTCCTCCCACCTACCCTGCGCCTTCTGCCTCCTTTTTCTCCCTTCATTCCATGTTGCAACGGTCCTTCCGAGAGGCCCTCCCTCATCCTGTGGTCTAAATCACATCTCTCCTTGGTTCACCTACATAACACCTCTCACTATATAAAGTGATCGTTTTCTTATTTCAGAGTGTGTGTGTGTGCGCAT